TTAATGATAAAATGGGGTTTTTATACAACTACCTTAAAAATTAATAATATTCTTGAATTAACATAAAGTGAAAAAAAGTAAATCAAAAACTCTTCTTTAATCTATTTCTTGTTTTTAGAATTCAATGAAATCATAACTATTAAACAAAAATAAATTATAAAAATTTATATTTAAATCCACATTTCAGAGTGTTCATAGCATTCCAAATTGACTTAACTTCAAAACAAACTTCATTTGCAGACAGAGGTGGTAATTCATCTCAATGTGACAGATAAAGATAATGCTCTGGATTTTCTTCAGGAGGAAAGCTAATTAATCCCAAGGGACTCATAGCAGCATTCAGTTTACAATGGGAACATCTTCAGCAGTTAACTCTCTTTGCCAATGCATTCTTATATAAAGTTAAGGAATCTACCCCACCACCCCAGCTCCAAACCAGGGGACATAGAGAACCAAACTTAGCATCAAAATATGTATTTCTGCCTACTGAACTACCATACCAAATTTCTTTGATTGGGCAACCATAAAAAAAAGTTGCCCATTCATTCTTATGCATAGTTAAGGAATCTACCCCACCACCCTAGCTTCAAACCAGAGGACATAGAGAGACAAACTTAGCATCAAAATATGTCTTTTTGCCTACTGAACTACCATACCAAATTTGAACTTAATTGGGCCACCATAAAAAATGTTATTAGGAAAAAACAGAAAATTTGTGGACGGAAGAATGACAGACGGACAGACAGACGGACAGACAGACAGACAGACAGAGTGATTACTATAGGGCACCCGCAAATCCTTGCGGGGCCCTAATTATCACTGATTATGTTTTATTGACTTTTAGACACATAGTAAGATTGATTGACATCAGTTTGGGGTAGTTCACACTGTTTTAAAGAAACAATTGATAGTAAAAAAGTTTAATACTCAAAGGTCACCCTATCTTTTGAAAATGAGTGAAAACGACAGCGTCTAGGAATACCTAAACAATTATTTTTAAAATATCAAAAAATGTACCTATCCACGTTTTTCTGAAATTCAAATAGATAATGAAACTTGAATCTATTTTGCTTTAAACCCTCAAAACAAATTTACAATAAGATGTACTTGACAAAAATGAAAAGGCGTAAGAAGAACAAAGACTTGTAAGAGCACAACAATAGTTTTATATGCTATTTTCTTAAATATTAGCTGTCTTGTTGTTCAAACTCATATTCGGGGAGGAAGTTCACTTTCTGGAGGAGTCTATCAAGGAAATTTTTGCAAAAAAATTGAAAGATTCATGAGAGGAAGGAAACAGAATGAGGAGTCATTCTACATTATAAATTTCTTCAGGACAGCGTCCAAATCCACAGGCCATGAAGAGTAAAGGAGTTTTGGGGATAAACAGAGGGTCAATGTTACGTCACACCAACAGAATTTGCCAGATCTTTCAACCTTTGATTTGTTTCATTTTCCAAACTTTTTCCAAACTTAAAAAACAACCATCAGAAAGAAAACCAGAAGTCTCTGTCGAGACTGTAGCTCTACTGGTTTGTACTTATCAAAAACCATTGCACTATTTTATGTATCTTGGTGTAGTCTACTTGTGTGCCAACTTATTTTGAAATCAAACTAAAACTGTAGAATGAGTAGCGTTTTAAAGGAATTTCACAGAAAATTCTATTTTTAGTAATTCTGATAACACCGTTCATCGAAACCAAAAACCGATGCACTATTCTATGTATCTTAGTGTAGTCTACTTGTGTGCCAAGTTATATTGAAATCGGACCAAAACTGTAGAAGGAGTAGCATTTTAAAGGAATTTCATTGAAAATTCTATTTTTAGTAACCATGGCAACACCGTTTATCGAAATCAAAAACCGATGCACTATTCTATGTATCTTAGTGTAGTCTACTTTTGTGACAAGTTATATTGAAATCAGACCAAAATTGTAGAAGGAGTAGCGTTTTAAAGGAATTTCACAGAAAATTCTATTTTCACTAACCATGGCAACACCGTTCATCTAAATTAAAAACCGATGCACTATTCTATGTATCTTAGTGTAGTCTACTTGTGTGCCAAGTAATATTGAAATCAGACCAAAACTGTAGATGGAGTTGTGTTTTAAAGGAATTTTACAAAATTCTATTTTTAGTAACCATGGCAACAAAATTCACCAAAATCAAAAACCGATGCACTATTTTATGTATCTTTGTGTAGTCTACTTGTGTGCCAATTTATTTTGAAATCAGACCAAAACTGTAGAAGTAGTGTTTTAAAGGAATTACACAGAAAATTCTATTTTTAGTAACCATGGCAACACCGTTCACCGTAATCAAAAACCGATGCACTATTCTATGTATCTTAGTGTAGTCTACTTGTGTGCCAAGTTATATTGAAATCAGACCAAAATTGTAGAAAGTAGCGTTTTAAAGGAATTTCACAGAAAATTCTATTTTTAGTAACCATGGCAACAACGTTCACCGAAATCAAAAACCGATGCACTATTCTATGAAAATATTAGTTTTTAGTCTACTTGTGTGCCAAGTTATATTGAAATCAGTACCAAAATTGTAGAAGGAGTAGCGTTTTAAAGGAATTTCACAGAAAATTCTATTTTTAGTAACCATGGCAACACCGTTCATCGAAATCAAAAACCGATGAATTCCACTATTTAAAAGAATTAGTCTACATTGTGTGAAATTAATATTGAAATCAGACTAAAATTGTAGGAGGAGTAGCGTTTTTAAAAATTGTTTACAGACAGACGAACAGACAGACAGACAGACAGACGGACGGACGCCGGACGCATTACTATCGCATAAGCTCTTCTGGTCTCTGACCAGTAGAGCTAAAAAACCAAGTACAGCAAATCATAGGGTATGCCATATCCCAGTATACGAAGGGTCATGCTCAAAAAATGAGTTCTAAAAACAATTAAAAATTGAATAAAAATGTTACGGACATGCATTTTAATCAAAAGAGAATATTTTAGTTAATTCATGAAGACATAGAAAAAAAACTTTTTTTGTTTTTTCCGAATCCCATGACATTATTTATTGAACGTCCCTCGTATTCAATCTTTTTTTTTTAAAAGGAAGGTTAAATTTGAAGCCAGACAACAGTTTAGGCTCGTATATTAAGGTCAAGCCTTACTACTCAGACAAAAAAGAAATCAATTTCAGATCTTGATATTTATCTAGAACTTTAAAAAAAAAATGCATATGATTTTTAAAAAAAAAAGTTCTACATAAATATCAAATGCCCGTGCACTTGAGTATTAAAAATTTCATTATAATATTTATTTTGTTTATGTTGCTTGCATTGTTCACCGCTAAATCTCTACACTCATGTATGAAATAGTGAACAGTGTTAAAACTAAAAAAAATCCTGAAACTCCATGATTTTGAATAGTGTTAGTTATCTCCATATATTTCATGAAAGATATTGAAGTGCTTATAATTCACAAGTAAAAGTGGTCTTCCAGGTTATTAAGAATTGAACTCACAACATAAAGTGTGCGCGAATAATAGCTATGCGTGGTACATTTATTTATTTACATAAGCTGCTTTTTCTCAGGTACGTCTTAACTTCCTATTTGTACAATTTTCATTCTCAAAATGACTGAGCAACAGCGTTTCATACCCATTCAACGACGTCATATACAACCTTTCACACTCCATTAAGAAATGACATAGACAAAGGTGAAATCAAAGGTAATGAACAGGGTTACATTTGACCTTGGAATTTGACCCGTTCAAAAAAAAAACGAAACTCAAGCATTTAATATAACTTTAAGCAGTCAGTGCAAGGGTCATCATATTATAAAGGTGTATTCCTAGATGACAAGATAAGGCCTTCCTACATTTGGATATCAACAATTTAGAACTTTTGATTCTTACAATGGAGCTGGATCTACTCTCGAAGAAATTTAACCTAGACCATAACTTTTTACAGTGGTGCTAAGGCCTTAATATTTTACATATATGTAACTATTTCTTATGACGAGGTCTTCTAATGGGTACATGTATCTTTAATTTGACCCTTTGACCTTGACATCTAAGTTTGGACCACATTTTTTTAAAAAAAGAAGAAATTAACCCTTCATCATAACTTTTTAATGGTTAATGTTTGGATTTGTGTATTCTAAAGATATATTCATTCAAAAGCGGATCCAGGGCCGGCGCGCTAACCTAATGTAACAACCAAGTTTTATGAAAAACGAGGTGACTTTAACTTTCAATCGTGAACTTGCCTTATTTATGCAGCAATATACCTTAATCACCTGCATAAGGTGTTTGATCTCTTAGTTGATTTGATATGCAAGAGTATGCTCTGCATATGAACAATTTTTAAGAAGAAGTCAGTTATTGACGAACAAGTTGCTGTAACAAGAATATCAGCAGTCTCGTTTAATTGCGTAAATTTTATATTCGATACAATGACCTTGTAGGCAAATACATTTATCATTATATAAAATGCTGATTGTCGTTTTTCATGCTAATTGTTGAGCCATTATATACACATTGAATTGTCTACTGATTTTTCCGTTATTTCCCGATCATGAAAAGGAGCATGCGGCAGGTGTGACCGGTCAGCAGTGGATGCTCACTCCTCCATGGAACCTGAGCCCACCTCTTTTGGAGGCCCGTGTTTGCTCTGCTCCTATTTTGTATTGTTAAATGGACTTTTAAGAATAAGAACAGTATTCAAGCTGTTCTTTATCTCCATATACCGGCATTTCATTCAATGCCTCTAAAGATTTAAAATCGTGAAATGTTAAACAGACATAACTCATTGAAGATTTTTTCATTACTCCTCCATGGAACCTGATCCCACCTCTGATATTTTGGAGGCCCGTGTTTGCTCTGCTCCTATTTCGTATTGTTAAATGGACTTTTAAGAATAAGAACAGTATTCAAGCTGTTCTTTGTCTCCATATACCTGCATTTCATTCAATGGCTCTAAAGATTTAAAATCGTGAAATGTTAAACAGACATAACTCATTGAAGATTTTTTCATTACTTTAATGTAAAAGAATTACAATACAATAAATATGACATATTCTCATCATAAGTTACATTTGTTTACTACCTCAGTTGGATTGTTTATTGGTGTTTCATGAAATGTTATGCTTGCTTGAATGCACACATCCAAACCTTTAACAATTTCGAAGAACAGTTGATCAATTCTTCCTGTTGCTTCCCAAACATAAACTATGATCTCCTCACCCAAAAGAGCCTCGTTTTCGTATCTTATTTGGAGTTCCTTTAATCCATTTTTAAACATTTCAGGTGAAAAGCATTTATACCTTCTTTTCATGGCCCCTCTTTTGCAGCTCTCAAAGCAAATTCTTAGATAAGCAAGATTATTTGTATGGTTCTGTTCATCTATATCACAAGTTTGAATCTTATAATGGTACTCTATAACACAGATTTCTGGCCTAGTTATTTTTTTCATAATGAATGGCAATCCTGTGGCATATTTTTTGTACTTTTCCCTCCAAAAAGATGGAAACTCCAATGGTTGTCTTGTTTTTGGATCCACCCTTACGCTTTGATGTGAGTATTTGACCACTTCTTTATCAATACCCCTAGACTGAAGTATTTTCGATTCACAATATGAAGTTTTACCCACGTAATCTAATGTAGCTAACACTGTGAGAGACTTTTTTATATTTTCTTCCAGGTAGAACGATTGGTCAACTACCAATTTTAATGATCCAATGAAAACATACAAGCTATCAAATATTATATGATAGTCTATAAAAGAGGCATTGTCTTCTGGCCAAGGATTAATACTGACCATTCCAGTGAACTCGATGAACCTCAACAATTGTAGGATTGTATGATTCCAATCTAAAAAAGTAATCAATCAACAAAAACAGGGGTACGAAAGACCATAATGCTTTAAGAGACGGAAATTGGTCCATGTTCAAAATCTTTTTAAAGAGAAAGGTTAAATTTGAAGCTAGACAACAGTTTAGGCTCATATATTAAGGTCAAGCCTGACTTCTCAGACAAGAAAGAAAGAAATTTCAGATCTTGATATTTATTGAGAACTTAAAAAAAATAAAATGTATGTTTCAAATGCCTGTGCACTTGAATATTAACCATTTCATTATTGTTATGACCCCATTTTAGCAGTAGTATTTGTTTATTGATTTATTTATTGTTGACATTGTTTAAATATTGAATGCAAATATTTATGGGAATAATAATGGTTAATATTATATAACTTTGTGAAATCCGGTAATCTGATTGGTCAATACGAAGTACTTATTTTTTAATAACGACCGCTGAAAGCGAATAATGACTCGCACGAGCTGCCTCGTTTTCACTTTCGCTTTAGACAAACATGGAAGTTCGCAAGTTGTAGATGAGGAAAATTTAAAACATATACAGAACTTGAGACTGATAATACAAAACAATTACTAGGATATTTGTGAATATTTTTCGGGAATAGTACGCGCATACCATTTCATGATTGAGTTCGACATTTCAACTCGGCGAGCAGAGTTTTAACGCTGTTTACGCGATTACGAAGACTAAAGAAAATATTGACAAGCATGCCATGTAAGATTGTATCTGTTCTTAGAAGACATAGGATATCTATTTTGTCAGTGCATTTCGTCTGCAAGTGTAAACGAGAGCGATTCTCAATCTGGGGGAGGGGTTACTCTGTGTCGCGGTTATTCGGAGATAGATATCTTGTGTCATTATTATGATATGGGAAATTTATTGCAGAAACAATTTCCTCTGAGTAATATTCAATGAATTCTGAAACATTTACATTCAACTTATTTATGGTTAATACTATCTCTGTAAATAATAGGATGATATACACTGCACTAATAAATTTGGGAAATTATTATTTATATAATATAATAAATATGGACTCAATGCACGGTCAATATGCATTTATAATGACCCAGGATGACAGATATTGACCTCAGATACATGAAGTATATCGACCTCGGGCTAGCGCCCTCGGTCGATATACTACATGTATCTTCGGTCAATATCTGTCATCCTGGGTCATTGTAAATGCATATTGACCTACATTGAGTCCATATTTGTATAATAATTATTCCTGAGATATATGGGAGATTTATATTTGTCATATGTATTGACATTTACTTTAGTACAGTACTGCACTAAAGTAAATGTCAATACATATGACAAATATGAATCTCCCATATATCTCAGGAATAATTATTAACCATTATTATTCCCATAAATATTTGCATTCAATATTTAAACAATGTCAACAATAAATAAATCAATAAACAAATACTACTGCTAAAATGGGGTCATAACATTATAATATTTATATTGTTTATATTGCTTACATTGTTCACCGCTAAATCTCTACACTAATGTATAAAATAGTGAATACAGTTTTAAGTCTCAAAAAATCTTGAATCTCTATGATTTTGTATAGTGTTTGTTATCTCCATATATTTCATGAAAGAGTAACTTGAAGTGCTTAGAATTCACAAGTAAAAGTGGACTTCCAGCTTATTAAGAATTGAACTCACAACATAAACTTTGTGTGAATAGTAGCTATGAGTGGTACATTTATTTATTCACATAAGCTGCTCTTTCTCAAGTAGGTCTAAATTTCCTATTTGTAAAATTTTCATTCTCAAAATGACTGAGCAATAGCATTTCATACCCATTCAAAGATGTCATAGATATAATCTTTGTTACTCCATTAAGAAATGACATAGACAAATGTGAAATCAAAAGGTAATGAACAGGGGTACCTTTGACCTAGGAATTTGACCCATTTTTAAAAAAAAACTCAAACATTTAATATAACTTTACGCAGTCAGTGCAAGGGTCATCATATTATACAGGGGTATTCCTATATGACAAGATAAGGCCTTCTTAAATTTGGATATCAACAATTTAGAACTTTTGATTCTTACAATGGAGTTGGATCTACTCTTGAAGAAATTTAACCTTGACCATAACTTATTATAGTGGTGCTAGGGCTTTAATATTTGACAGATATGTAACTATTTCTTATGACAAGGTCTTCCCATGGGTATCTTTAATTTGACCCTTTGACCTTGACATCTAAGTTTGGACCACATTTTTGTAAAAAAAAGAAATTAATCCTTCACCATAACTTTTTAATGGTTAATGTTTGGATTTGTATATTCTAAAGATATATTCATTGGAAGGCGGATCCAGGGCCGGCGCACCGGGCATGCCCCACCCCCCCCCCCCCCCCCCTTTGAATTTTTTTGTTTATAAAATTTATATGTCCATTATCCTAAAATGAAGGAAAAAATATCTCTTATTTGTAAGAATTTGTCAACATTGTCGTTTCGTGACTCGGCCAGCAGCCTCTGGCTGCTGGACAACTAATACATGAAGAGGGTTGCAGTAGAAATAAGAACTTGCTAGTCCTGCTGGCAACTATGTTTAGTTAGCATTGATTCCTGCAGTGCAGCCCTCCGGACTCCCCCCCCCCCATCCCACCTGTTACGAAATTCCTGGATCTGCCACTGTCATTGAGAAAAAGTCCTCTACGGGTTACAACATTTTTTAATTTTTGACGTTGGAGTTTGACTTGCATTTAAGAAATTTCAACTTTCTCCAAATGCTATCATATGGGAACATCACATTTTAAAAATATATTTACTCATATCACACAAATAAAAACAGAATGCATCAAATCCTGTTCGATTCGTGAAATAAATTCCAAATCTAGCTACAAAACATTGAATATCCTCTATTAGAACATTCAAACTACAAAATTTTTTTAAAAAAAATCTGATTCATTTTATGAAAATCAAAGTAGTTGCTAAGATTTTGCCATAGTTCATTAATCGACAGTATTTTAAAATGCATGGCTATTTTACACCTCACCATCTGTCAGAGAAACTGCATGAGGATATCCACCAGGAAACTCCAGTATACATTGACCTCCAGTTATTTTTCTGTGTACATTCAGCTGTTCAGCTAATCTAAAATTATACATAAATGGAGTCAGAACTACTGTGCATTTTATAGGACTTTTTTCAAACTCTCCACTGTACATAAGGTATGTTTATAGAGGATTTATCAGTAAATATAACTAAATATATTTAGTGCTACTGAAGAGAGCTAGTAAAACAATTGTAATAATGTGTCTGTTGTCAGCCCCTTTGTCTTTCTAGCTGCCTGCCTATCTGTCTGTAAACTGAACAAAAAATTAAAAAATTCTTTCATTTTTATCTGCTCTTAGCATGATTTGGCACTAAGCTATACTAAGATACTAGTACGTAACTCTGTATACAATGTATCAGTTTATAATTTCAATGAACGGTTCCTAACATTAGTTTTTAATTTCAACAAGCAAATTCAAAGAATTGTGGTCCCCCACATTGAGTATAATCTTATTGGATGGGATGCCAGTATTTATAGCATATTGTTCACATATGAACGCCTTATCATATGTCATTTAAAAGTTGTTAAGAATTATGTCAAACATGAAGGATAAGGTAAAAAAAGGATAAAAAAATAATCATAGTATTTGTATATTCAGAAAGGTCTTGTCACAGGCAATATACATATTTAATAAGAAAGCCCTATCTTTTCTCTTTTAAAAGTAATGACCAATTTAAAGTAATGTTAAAATTGTTGAAAGTAGGCCAAACTTCAAGGTCAAGAGGTCAAAATAAATTGTACATTTGGAAAGGTTTTGACACAGGTAATGTACATATATGTGAAATATGAAAGCCCGATCTCCTCTCATTCAAAAGTAAATGACCAAGGTTAATAAAAGTTTTAGTGACAGACTCATTGAGGGACAGGCAAATGAGATTTAATGTCCCCTCCCTTTAACGACAGTGAGGGCCAATAAATGATATCGTCAAAGTTACTAAAAAAGATGCCTCTTTTAAATATCCTTATAATATGCAACATTGCTTAAAGTTTTCATCTATTTTCAATTAGAAAATTCAGTAAAATAAATTCATAACTCTACTCCTCCTTCAGTTTTGTTCTAATGTGAAAAATAAAACTTAACAAAAAGGTAGATTACACTTAGATACATAACTTTTATATAAACATGATAAACATTTTTTTATTTCATTGAACGTCATGGCCTTGATTGTGAGAAATATAATTTACTGCTAAATACCCCCGTACTTTTAAACCTCTTTTCTTCATATAGTATGGTCTGGTTTAAGTATGATTTGGTACAGAAGTAGAATTGACTTTTAAATAAAAAGCTGCAATAGTCTACACTCCCTGGGGATGTTTCCATATAAATATGACCAATCATGGTACTGTTGTTTTCAAAGAATAGATTTTTAAAGATTTTCCCTGTATATTCCTTCGTAAAACTTTGTTCATTGTCCATTGTGGTGTAGCTAGAAGCCTGTCCTGCACCAGGGGATCATAAATTGAACAAACTTGAAGACTACCTGAGAATGCTTCCACTAAAGTTTCTTTTTTTGCTGACATAGTGGTTCTTGAAAAGATGACATCACCAAGTTTTCACTAATCTCCCCTTGAAAGAGGGCATTGTCCTTTACTTAAATAACTTGAATCCCCTTTATCCAAGGATGCTTTGTGGCAAGTTTGGTTGAAATCATGCAACCTATTTGATTCAGGAGTCAGGAGAAGAAAAAATGTGAAAAGTTTATACATGTATATAGACAGAAGACAGACGGAAGTTGGACAGTGTATTTAAACAACCAGATAAAGACTGACTTATCTATTACATATATTGATAAATTATGTTGATAAATTATGTTCAACAGTTTTTAAACATTATGAAAGAACAAAGGTTTAGTATCCTGTCACAATCATGTCACGACTGATGTAATTTTCTCAAGTTTCAAATACATATATACATGTATATCAGTGTCAGATACTTTAATACAAATTTTAATTAGGCCTGTGAATTGCCTAAGGCCAACATTTAGTATGCAAAAAAAATATACACATAAGCAACAAAATGCATATATTTCTTCAGGCAACATTTTCTTTTCATTTTGTTTTTTTCCTCAGTTCATGTTTAAAAAAAAATTTTATGAATATATCTCCTTTTGGAAATAAAAAAAATTTGACAAATAAAGACCTTGTCTGTTGGTAGAGATATAATTAAATCAATAAATGACATAACTCTGACTGGCTTCATCATGACTAAACCAATGTACGATTGATTGATTGTATACTGTTTAACGTCCCTCTCCAGAATATTTCACTCATATGGAGACGTCACCATTGCCGGTGAAGGGCTGCAAATTTAGGCCTTTGCTCGGCATCGCCTAGGAGGGACATCGTGCCACACCTCTGTCAACGTCTAAATGCCAAGACCAATGTATGAAAGGCTTAAATGTTATATTATTTACTTATTAAACTTAAAGAGGTTCACCTATTGCATCATCTTTAATTTTTCAAGTTCTGCATTAAAATGCAATTGCTACGATGAAAATTAGACTACATCAAATGAACAAAAAACAACAAAACTACCCAACAACAATATTTTATGGCGGATTTTTTTTTAGAAGAAGATGATCAATTTTTTCCCTTTTAAAACATATACACTATTGTTAAGTTTAGATTCCTATTTTTCCATGCTGAATGCACACAGAACTTTTTTATGCATTGAAATATTTTATATTGCTTCTGAAATATCTCATAAATTAAATCTGATCATTTTTTTCATTATATTGTGACAAATATAGTGAATATATCGTCCAGGAAAAAATTGAACCAATTTTAGCATAAAGTTTATGTTAACATCTTTTTAGTAATATCTAAAATTTACGCCATTAATCACCCTTTTGTTTTTCTTTTCTTAATATATTAGATAACTTTGATCAATCTGCTTAAATTCACTAAATTCAGACTTTAAAATAATTTTCTTGCTTGTTACATTTTCGATGTCAGAAAAATGACATTTTTGACTGAAAAAGGTCAATTAATTGATTATGCGAAGCAATTTAAAACTTTTCGCTGATGGCAATATTAAAGTGTCATAAAAAAATCAAAGTACTCAGAAGTACAGAGAGCCGGGCTCATTTATAGAGTAGAATGGATTTCTTACATGAATCACGTTTATATTCTGATGAAAAAATTATTTTTACAATATACATGTAAATGATAAGACACTGACAGTGAGTTTTTCAATCCTAATGCACCATTTTGTCAGAATCAGAATTAATCTCAGCTGAATGTAAACAAACAGGCTAGTCTGGTTCCCTCTCCTGTTTTACATGTGTAGAGAATATATTTATCAAAAAACGCTAATTACATATGAAGTTTTCAAACAATAAATTATTTCATATAGATAAAACTTGTTTTATATACCTCAAAAGCGGTTGTAAGTAACTTTAAAATCTATTGGGTTAACATTTGAACAGGATCACATCAATTGCTTTCAATAAGCCCGGCTAAAAATTAATAGTTTATTTGGACCTATTTATATTTGGATGTCGAAGATTTATTGTTATTTAAGACTCAAATTTCAGTGCCAAAAGGTCATATTAAATGTACTGAAACGCCAAAAGGAGCATATTGACCTCATTTATATCTTTTGATTTTTTTTTCAAGTAAACGATGTGTGTAGAAACTTAAAATATACTTGACAAAAAAGTTTAAGACTTTAAATACCGGGATCAAACCTCGTAAAGGCACAAGAAAATGTAGAGGTACAAGAAACATTGCATTAAGGGGACCGACTAGGGTTTTATTGTGTGAAAAGAACAATAAAGAGTTTATTTTTGTATCATTGACTTCAGTGTACAGGCCAAGTTTGGGGAAAATCTACCGTCCAGGTATTTTTAAGGGTCTGTCTCTACTAACAGTTACATTTACTATAATATTATATAGAAAAGTGCTAATTTTTTGCACTTTAAATTAAAGCAATTATTCAAATACTGACTACAATAGACTTTCTGCTCAAACTATAATATATGATGAGTAATACTACAATGTACATTATAATTATAAGAAACACAAAATTCTACCGTTTTGTTTCCAGAGGGGCATCTCAAAATACCAAAAATTATAGATCTTTTTATAGAGTACTAAAAATATGACGGATACAAAGAATTTATACAAATAATTAGTATAACGATGGATAGATTCTCAAATTTTTATGTTTTAAATTTCAATAGCATATATTACTTTTTCTTCTAAAACATTTAATTACTGCTCATTAATTCTTCAAGATCTTCAAGTTATCATAACGTCAAAAAACACAAGTTATTACGACGTCAATCTACTTATCAGTTGAAACATCCTTTTAAAAATCAGTTATATAAATTGCAATTAAATTTTTATGCGCCCGAATTTTTTCAGGGCGCATATTGTTTTTGTCCTGTCTGTCTGTTTGTCTGTTTATCTGTTTGTCTGTCTGTTGTCAACTTTAACCTTCGCCATAACTTTTGAACCATGAGAGATAGAGACTTCATATTTGATATGCATACTCAACTAATTAAGCACTTTCAACTGACACCAAGGTCAATGACCTTTTGACCTTAGTTGTGACCTATATGCTAAAAATAGATTTTTCGAACTTTCGCTATAACTTTTAAACCATTGGAGATAGAGACTTTATTTTTGGTATGCATACTTCAGTAATTAATGCTTTCAAACGACACCAAGGTCAATGACCTTGTGACCTTGATAATCTATGTGCTAAAATTGCTTTTTCGAATTTTGTCGCCACCGGGCGCATAGTACGTGTTTCACAAACACATCTTGTTTAACCTGTATTTTCTTTATTTTTGTAAAAAATTCAATTAAGTGAAAAAAATGCTTTTAAACAATAAATACGCTTCATTTTAAAGACTTGTCTTAATAACTTGGGGTTTTCCTATTTAATCAATTTCAATATGTCTTTGAAACCAGTGCTTCGCATTGTTAAACAACGTACGTTTTCATGAAAAAATATTACAAGAACAGAATGCACGTACCATGAACTCCTCAAAAGTACCATTTTATCGGAACTTTTGTTTTAATAATAAACTTGCACATTTTGTTGAAAAAATAAAGTCACTATATGATTGATCAACTTTATCGAAAATAAGGTTAAGTGCACATACGAGGGTTGTCCAAAAAGTTCGTGGACAATGACGTTTTTGTTAAAATAAATGGTTCTATAAATATCATTTGTATATCAAAATATTTCTTATGAAAAACCAAGTCAGAAAGATTTCATTTTTATTGATGTAACTTTATATTTTTGTAAAAATCGGGGTCTTTCAATGTCGCAGATAGTGCGCACGGACCAAGGTTAAAATGCCATGAAGTTTGAAATAAAGTGTTTGGAATAAAATGATTATTTTTTTTTATATAAAGCAAGTCAAAGCTTAGTAAAAATTATATGTAACACAAATAAAGAAGCTATTATCATTTTTTTTTTGATATCTAAAGTATCGGTTACTATATATAGACAGTGAAAATATTAAACAAGAACCCTTACAAATATTTGTCAAAACTCGACAGAAAAAGCGACGTCGGCCGTCCGAACGGGGCAGCGTCCGATCAAAAAAAAATTTTAATACGCTTGAAATGACATCAGAGACAAAATATTTGTTCAAACAACTCAAAGTTATCAGAATATATTTTTGTTTAATGATTTGAGATCGGTATACACTGTATACGATTTTTCAACGGTGTGTACAAATTCAAAGACACTACAAGGATTAGAAAACACATTATATTTAATGAAAATGGATATTTCTATTCATGACGTTGTTATAAATCTAGCGCAACATCAGACTGGACTGTGCAGCCTATGTATAGGAATTATTTATATTGGTGACGCTCGTAAATTATTGTGTATTGTTTTAAAGTTTAAAAATTAAATGAATTATAATCTATACTTTAAGATTATTGCTAGCACTTTGCAGTGTGATATGATAAAGAAAATGTAGTTTGTGTCCATGAACATGTATTAAAAATTAAAATTCCAAGTTTGACGTTATAATGAAATTAGCTTAACGTCAGACTGGTCCGTGTGCACTATCTGTGACATTGAAAGACCCTGATTTTCACAAAAAGATGAATTTACATCAATAAAAATGATATCTATCTGACTCCATTTTTCGTAAGAAATATTTTGATACATACAAAAAATGTATATAGAACCATTCATTTTCACAAAAACGTCATTGTCCACGAACTTTTTGGACAACCCTCGTAATTTAGAAATTAATTAAGGTCTTCCGTTTCCAACGGAAGACCTTCTAATGATTCTGTTGGTAAAGATTATTATTCTTTTTTTTCTTCTGCTTCCTAGACCGTAACTTTGAGGCCTCATATCTCACTCATTTCTCAACGGATTTCGCTCAAATTTTCAGACGTTATAGACGTTAATAAACTCTATCAGAATTTTGTCTAAAATTTCAAGAAGCCACTTCCGGTTTTGAGTTATTTACCTTTAAAGGAAAATTTATAGGCTTTCGTTTCCAGACAAAGGCTCAGAGATGGCTAAATCTGGAGCAGAAATTCTACTGATTTTAGATAATAGAAGGATTGAAGTTGTGCACATTGGTTTTTGTTTTTCGATTTCTCTATTCAAAATGGCGCTATATAGGGTCAAAAATTAGAACGCTTAAAAGAACCAAAAATTACTCATATTTTTCTTTTTATCTTCTAAACTAAAAATATTTTGTTAAAATATATAGAACATAATTTGTGCAGAATTAGAAGATCTTTCAAATGATATGTCGAAAAAAGGGCTGACCCCTAAATTAAGGGACCTAGAGGGGCCAAAAGTTTTTTCCAGATATCTCAAAAAGTATTGAGAATTTGTTTTACATCAAAGAAGCAAAGTTGTTCAAAATATCAAGCTTTATCTAATGGGGTCGTCAAAATACGTCCGGCGACGTCACTTTCGGTCGAACCGGAAGTAGCCTGAAAATGCATATTTTTGCCGTTTTTGACAGGTTTTTGGGTAACATGTGTCACTAGAAGCTTAAATATTAATTTTTCGTCCGTCGTCGTCACTTCCGGTCAAACCGGAAGTACCAAAGAATGGCTTAAGTTTGCAATTCTTAACACAGATTTGGAGGATTAACCCATTTTTGGACTTAATTACTCTTTTTTTTTAAACGAAAGTTACTTCCGGTCAAACAGGACGGAAGACCTACTCGTTGCTTTGCAACGAGCTCGGCTCTAGTTAACAAGATGTGTTTGTGAAACACTATGCGCCCTGTTCGAAAAAAGCCATATTTAGCATCTAGGTTACAGTCAAGGTCACTAGGTCATTGACTGTGGTGTCATTTGAAAAAAACATGATTGGCGGAGTATGCATGCCAAATATGACGTCTCTATCTTTTATGGTTCAAAACTTATGGCGATGGTTAAAGTTTGCAGAAAAAACTATTTTCAGCATATAGACCACAGTCAAGGTCACAAGGTCATTGACCTTGGTGTCACTTGAAAGAACTTAATTAGTGGAGTATGCATACAAAGTATGGAGTCTCTATCTTTCGTGGTTCAAAAGTTATGGCGAAGGTTAAAGTTTGCAAACAAACAAACAAACAAACAAACAAACAAACAAACAAACAAACAGGACCAAAACAATATACGCTCCAGATCTATCGATCCGGGCGCAGAATAAAAATTGTAGATATGTTAAAATTAATAAACAAAGGTCGTGTAAAGTGGTTAAAATCTTGATATTGAAGATGAAAAACATTTCATTTTTGCTCTGTCCGAAATATGAAGCACAGAGAAAAATATTATTTTTTGCTTTTCCCAATTTCAACCAAATAATTCATAAAAATGAAAATTTGTAAAATCACTGATGAAAACCAGTTACAAAAGGGTTCGTAAAATATTATCTTTTATGACAAATATCTAATATCTGAAAACATACAATGAAGCGCATTGAAGTGGTAAAATTTTCCGTTTGACTGGAACGTTTTGAGCTATCTTTAGAACGATGATTGTCATACATGACACGCCCATTTCTTTAGAAAAGAAAAATCGGTCAAATGGTTCACTGGAATACCCGTAGAACAGGTATTCTAAAAATAAAATAGCCAATCAAATTGACGGTCTACATAAACACAGAGTACGCACGTGTTCGATCGATACATGTGTTATGGTAACTCCAATAAACATGATAAATTCATGATTATGGACAAATTCGTTGCAATACGTGTTTTACAGAAGCGGTACTCTCTAACTCTCTTTCTTATAACTTTAAAAATCTCAATTTTGGGGTAACTCATGTTGCTTGTCGCGAAGAGTGGTGCGTTATAAACATTACGACGAATATTTCTTTTTCGTTTCTAAAGAAATGGGCGTGTCATTATGTTATAATTGACGTTGAAAATATGACTCAGAAAGCTTCATCCAAAAGGAAAATTTTACCACTTCAATGCGCTTCATTGTATTATAGCTATAAATAAGTAACAGCATTGTTATGAATAATTAAGTATCTGATGTATTTGCTAAACACCAATTATATTCTACTTGTGTTCTACTGTATGTTTTATAATGTTTATTGGGCATTTAGAAATTACTGTAATTGCGGTGTTAAATATTTTGTACTATGGATTTTGTATTTGAGTAATATTTTGAATGTATTTTCTTTTTTATTGACTTGATCTCATAGTTTTGCGATTTAGTAATTTTTTTTTGAAAAGTGTGTGTACGACATTGAGTTCATGGTAAGTTGTTGCAACTACGGAATTTCAAATCTTTTTCAAAATAACTCCCCTGGTATCTTAACAGTCCTTGGGCTTACGGTTTTTAATCGGGGCTCTCCAATGTTCTCTATTTTGATTTCACTTTTAAGGAAGACATACAAATCTGTGATCAAGATGAAAGGAAAAATGTAAAAGGAGACGAGATAAAAAATAATTATTAAATGTAATGTATTTATTTTTCACTTATTATTGCAATGGAAGCTAAACATACTATTGTTCATGATATAAACGAGGGTTGATCAAAAAGTTCGCGAACTACTATCTCTATACAGGTAAAATGTGGCACACATGTAGTCATATTATGTTCTATACATGACAGATTTAATTTTACGCAATGTTTTGCTCCATGGTTAGGACGTCACAATGTGAAAATGATGTCAGTATGTAGATGACTCTGACAAAAAATGATTGGCTCAGTCGATCGTACTCGAGCAAGAAACGACTGTAAAGTTTAACATATATCCAAGTAATTCCTCTGCAATACATGTATTATGTAATTATTTGTGCAAGGTTAATGATTGATTGGTTAATTGTATGCTGTGAAACGTCCTTCTCGAGAATTAGGTCATTTGTGACAATTGGACCATGTCTGTTATATAAAATAACATGCATAGTTCGAAATATAGAACATGTTTGGCTTCTGTGAACAGTACACTATATAAACCATGTCACATGACAATCTGGTCCACGTGATTTCGTAAATGAGCATTTATTTAATCCGGAGGGGATAACTTCCAAAACAAAAAAATAAACATCGAAATTTCATTTTATTCTTTTATAGAAGTATTCGCAAACGTTCTGATCAACCTCGTAACTGGTATTTACATTCAAGTATACATGTATAATCACATAATGAAGGATACAGACAAAAGTAAAAATTATCAAATAAATCGCAGTTATTTATCTTCCTTTCATAAATGAAATTGGTTGCTTGTTCAGCTTGGTCATATACTATTTCGAAACGAAAAAAATTCAAATGAAAGAAAGAAAACTGCAATAAAATATAAAAAATATGACAAGGTAAAATCTACGAAAATTATAAATTACACCACTTTTACAATATTCGAAAAACTTATGCAAAATAAACAGGAAAATGAGCCGTAAAAGAAACATCTAATTGGTATACCTTTCGATGACATTCTTGAATTTTTTGCAAGAAAGTCATGATGATTTCTTTTATGTATATACATATCTTTTCTTTGCACAAAAATGATGGAAATAAATAATAATACATATGATAACAATAATATGTAGAATTTAGATAAAATGAAAGGAGTAAATACATTAATATGTGTATATATGTCTTTTCAACATATCTACAACTAGATTTAGGACAGCGCTTTTTACATAAAAAAATTGCTATTTCTTTGGAAATTTTGAAAGAGAAAACAAATTTTCTATTTTTAAAACAAGAATTTTAATCTTACTGTATGTATGTTACGTACTTATAAAAAATTGAAAAAAAATGAGATTTTTTAAAAACATCTTATATTTGGTTATCCTGAACCTAGTTGTACCTCCACTTTTGATTAAATCTTCAAATATGCATTCGTCATATCTACTCATATGACTACAGACTCTGCTACGACATAAGTATCCTCTCCAATACTTATATTAGTCACTATTTTCTCTTGCTACGCTTCTAAGCAAGGTTATATAATATATCTTCATGGCTTATCTCCATGTGTCTTTCTGACATATCAGCAATTAGGTTTAGGACAGTACTCTTTTAGGATACAGAGTTATCTAAATTCATTTTTCCCAAAAATATAGTCATGCAGGAATACCATTCATAATTTACCATTAAAACATTTTAAATTACTATGAAATTAAGTTTTCCACTTCAAAACTGGAATAAAAATAATACTGATTAAGTGTAAAGACCAAAAATTGATTGAAAACCTTCAGTTGTCCCAGGAATATTTTTGTTTAATTCTCAGTGTCCCAAACCTAGTTGCACTTTTAGTTTTCAGTGTTCTTACAGTCTTACTTTACAATAAGACTTGACAAAAGTAAGTGTCATCTTTTTGTTCATCTTGTAAATTTTTATAAAAAATGAAATAAATGTATACATGTACATTATTTTAATGTCTTTTTAACATTTTATTCTTTTATAGAAGTATTTAAAAGTGTTTGCGAACTTTTTGAACACCCCTCGTAACTGCTATAAATTACATTTATACTAGTTTATAATACCAGTTTACTTTAATTCCAGTAATTTTGTGATGTAAACGTTCTCCAATAACTTGCAGTTATGCAACTTCCTTTCATAGTTAAAATTGTTGCTTATTAATAACGGAAACATATCTTCAAATGAAAGAAAGTAAACTGCTGTGATTTACATTATTTAAAAAACTGTAACATAGGTAAAACCCACGAAAATGATAATTTATTATCTCCTTTACATTCGTCGAAAAACCCACAATGCGAAATAAACAGCTTACACCTGTGAACCGTAAAGGAAAAAATAATGGGTTTACCTTTCGATGAGGTAATTATAATATTTTTTGCAAAAACAAAATTACAATGATGGTTTATTTTTATGTATAAACATCTCTGGTCTTTGTTCAAAAATGATATTATAGTTCAAAAACAATAAATATATAAAATTACGATAAATAAAATACATGTATACATGTACTTGAATTTAATGTCTTTTCAACATACTCAGTACATGTATTAACAACTAGATTTAGGGCAGCGCTTCTTAGATGATAAAATTCGTTATTTTTTGAAAATTTTAGAGAGAAAACAAAGTTTCTATTATTTTTTTTACTACAAGAATTTTCAGAATGGTCTTTACTGTATGTAACTATACATATATCAAGTTAAGAAAAAAATGAAAAAAAAGAAGAAAATATTGAAAATTATTTGGAAAAAAATTATTTTTGGTTATCCTGTACCTAGTTGTACCTCCACTTTTGTTTAAATCTTCAAATATTCAATTGTCATATCATACTCATATGACGGCAGACTCTACTGCGACATAAGTATCCTCTCTAATACTTATTATAGTCACTATTTTCTCTTGCTTCGCTTCTAAGCAAGCTTTTATTATATATCTTCATGACTTATCGAGTATGTCTCTCTGACATATCAGCAACTAGATTTAGGACAGTGCTCTTTTTAGGATACATATATACTTAGTAATTATATACATCCATTATTCCAAAAATGCTTATGCAGGACTGCCCCCTCACAATTCACCATCAATATATATTTTTTTAAATTACTATGAATTTGATTTACGTACTTCAAATTTGATGAAGAATACTGAATGTGCAGCCAAAGTAAAATCTAAAAATTCATTGAATACTTGTTTAAAAAATATTTTTGTTTAATTCTCAATATCCTGAACCTAGTTGCACCTTTAATTTTTAATTTTCTTACAAACTTACTTAACAGTAAGACTCGACAAACGTAAGTGTCATCTCCTTGTTCATCTTCTAATTTTTTCTTTGTTATGCTTACTATTTTGAGCATTTTCATTTTCTTTTCAACAACTCAGAGTACATGTACCCAGATGTCCCACCGTCATCGGGGACCTATAACGTTATTTATAAGGACTTACAACGTCACCCTAATTCTTGGACGTATTTCCGCCTTCATACAACAAATATTTCAGTTATATTAACTATCCCATTTTGCAAAAATCCTATTCTGCAAGGCATATTTATCAATATCCATTCTTCCTATAAGCTACATATTTTTTTTTAATTTCAATATTTATAAAAAAAAATTTAATTTCAATTTTTGAAACCATATTTGTGTTTATGAAAAATACCTTAAAGAATTCGAAAAAAAGTAAATTAAGAAAATAAAAACAATACTTTAAGATTTTAAGGAGACTGAGTGGTCATGTTAATTTTCTTCAAGATCAACCTCAGATTAAAAATTCGATTTTTGTATTCATTATATATTGTAAAAAAAGAAGAAAACTATAAAATTTGATGCAATTTCCTAATATGTTTTCATACTAAACGTTCATTTTTATGAGCTTTAAATAGCCCCCCCCCCCCCAAAAAAGGCATGACCACCCAGCCCTCTTAATCTATTATTAACTTATTTTATAACCCATCACTGGATGTATTAAATGTTGCTCGAAAGATTTAGGTGAGAGTGAAAATATTTTGTTAAAGAACGAGGCATTAAAAAATCCAAAGACGAAAAATCTTAACCATACATCCAATTTGAACCCATTAACCCTTCCCGGCTTTGCTTTGGTGATCCTATACTTGAGAGCGCTGACTTCAGCTATTGCTTCTCATTTCAACATTAGAAATGTCTCCAAATCAATTACTCGAATGGAGAACCCTCTGTAAAGTGAACTGGAATCACTTTCTTTATTTCATGCTCACAAAACGAACATTTATTTTTCTGTTCTTCACATTCGTTGCAAATAAGGTGTCCACAGTCCACAACAACACTGGATCCATTCCGTGTTCCACAACTTTTACAAAGCATCCTCCTCCTCATTTCATCATTCTGCTTGATTAACTCCTCAGGTTCTTTAGTAAACAAAAAAAAAATAGAAGATACAGAGACAAAATAAAAACAAGATAATTCAGATTGAAGCATATGTTTACAGGAAGATCTCCAATGAATTCTAAAACGAGCTAATTTTCTAATTTTTGTTCAACTTTTTGTTTCAAAAAACAGATTTGGTCAAATCAGTAGTACTGCTTTGATTCAATATGTACAAAAATGATATTAAACATTTTTCAAATAAATTAAATTCATTAACAATCCTCTTAAAAATGGTGTACTGAAAAAGTTATTATGCAACCTTTTCTAGGCTCCTGATCTCACCACTGGAATATCCGGAGATAGTATTTGTACCTTGTTTTCAGATAAATTATTGAATACTGTTAATAGATATTTAAGATTGACCATTATTCTTTATTCTTACCCATTCCCATTTTTCTTTGTCGTATAAATTACTATTATAAAACATTTATGTAAAAAGAATACCTTTCGGTATGGCCTCGTTTATTTTATTCTCGGGAAAGGAAGGTACTTTCAGGCTTGTGTCTGAAACATTTTCCCGTCTTTTAAATTTCTCAATTTCTTCTACGATATCTTGGGCAGAAAACACAGAATTTGCACCTAGTTAAAGGTAAAAAGTAAAGTAAATCCATTGACACTGACGATTACATATCTTAACCTATACATGTATATTACATTTTTTCTTTACTTAATTTGTTCGATTTTGCAGTTTTAGGTTCTATCATTCTGTACTAAAAGGCTATATTTATCCTTTTTGAAAGGCACCGTCATTAATTTAAGAAATGAATCTAATATTTGGACAAGAGGACATGAAATACAACTCTACACTTCGGCATGTTTTGTGAAGCGCGTTAGCACTTTATGACAAAAATACAGGCGTAAAATTAAATTCATCTCATATTATTATCTCATTTTTCGACAGCTTGTATAAGTGGTATATGCTCAATAATTTTGAGTTTTATTTAGCACGGTTTTATGATGTCATAATGGAGATCTACTTGCTCATTTATGGTAGTTCAAGACAATTGCAAAGTCTTTTAATTTGCAAATGAATACGAAGATAGGGAAGAATTTTCTAGCTCAGAGATTCATTCAAGCAATACAAATCAAGAGCAGAGCAAACACGAACCTCTAAGCATATAAGAGGTGGAGTCAGGTGCCATGGAGGAGTAAGCCTCCCCTGCCGACCTGCCACGACCTATGTTCCTTGTCATTATCAGGAAATAATGGAAAAAACTTGTAGACAATTCAGTTTGTAATTTATGTCCAAGCAATTAGTATGAAAACAATCTATCAGTACCGGTATTTGATGTAATGATAGATTATATTTGCTGACAAGGGCATTATATCGACCATTTTTCGAAGTTGCAAAATGATGCCTTTTAAAAGAAATGGTGCATCATATTCTAGTTTCATCCACTTGTTTGTCGATAGCCTCGTTTAAGAAATAATTCGTACATAGATATTGCTCTTGCTTTCAGAATTAACTGAGAGACATTAACCCATCTGAGGTTTCTCTATTTCAAGCTTAAAAAATCTTGAGGAAAAATATTTGTAAATGTAAGTAATTGTATAAAGAATCATCATCTGATCAAGTGTATGCTTAACACGACAATACAGAAAACATATTTGTTATAATTACAATTTAAAAGCCATTATCTGAATTGTAAATGTTTTAGTATCATAAGAGTAAGACTACTTACCATGATCACGTAAAATAGAATTGATTGCGGTTTGCACAACCACAGGACGGTATTTCAGGGCAAGAACACTTTGCGCTGCCTCAGTCCAAAGTACATTTTCTCCTGAATCAGAATTCTCATAGCCTTCTGTATTTTCCTGATAAAAAGTGAACAGAAAAGTTGCAAAAACATCTTCACTGATTTCAAAGCTTTTTAAACATTATTTTGAACCAATTTTTATTAATTTTTAAATCTTTTTTTTTTTAAAAAAGAAGGTTTTTGATCATTCTGAACAGGTGTGCACAAGAGGGAGGAAAGTATTCGTATTATTTTATCCAGTTTTCCAAGAACATTTCATGGACACACAAAATCAGTAAGTTTGTTTGAAAAATAAAACGACATGTATAATGCATTGTTTTATTCGTTTATGAAAACATTACTCTTCAACTGCTTCATTTGCTTTTTGATCTCATCTTATAAATAATACATATTTTGCATGGTGAATTTCGCAAATGAATTATTTAAAAATTGAATGAAATACTCTATTTTCAACAGGCTGAAGTACTTTTTTCAATGCATCATTCTTCGAACACGGTAACAGTAAAAAAAGTATTCTAGTATGTAACGCCATGCTATGCAACCGATCGGAAACTGGAAAAAGTTAAAATCGTTTAAAGAAGAAAAATTATTGAGTAAGTAAAAAAAAATCTCTCGTGTATTGTTATAAATGAAATATATGGAGATAACGAACAGTATTCAAGATCAAAAAACCATAAAACAATACAAAATAGGAGCAGAGCAAACAGGGACTCCAAAACATCAGAGGTGGGATCAGGTGCCATGGAGGAGTGAGCATTCCCTGACGACCTGTCACATCCGCCGTGTGTTCCTTGTCATGATCGGGAAATAACGGAAAAATCTGTCGTCAGTTGTGTATAAATAATGGACAAACAAATAGTATGAAAAACGTCAGTTGACATTTAACTCAATGATAAATTGTATTTGCTGACAAAGTCATTGTATCGACCATAGAACTTATGAATTATTGACTTAAAACGAGACTGCTGATATTCTTGTTTGTGAATAATTTACCTCGTTTTAGAAATTGTTCATACGTAGAGCATGCTCATGCGTAACGAATCAACTGAGATATATAAATATGAAACACGTTTTCTGAAACAAGCATTCAAGTTGAAAATTGAAACTGTACGATTTGGGAGCAGAGCAAACACGTTCCTTTAAAACATCAGAAATTGGTTTGGAATACATGTGGGGGGGGGGGTGTCTCCTGTTGACTTGTCACAACCCCCGTATGCTCCTCGTCATGATCGGACAAACGGGAAAATTCGTTGACAATTCAAGAAATTAATGACCTAACAATTTGTATGAAAAACGTCAATCGACACTCGACCTGATGAGATAATGTATTTGCCGACAAGATCATTGTACTGACCATAGACTTTGAAAAATATGGACATTAAACGAAATTGTTGATATTCTTTTCATGAAATATGTGTCAATAGCTTGCCTCGTTGTAGAAATTGTTAGCGTAGGTTTTCTTTTGCGTATCGAAACTCCATGTGCAGGCGAAAATATGGTGGTACATACATGTATAAGGAAGGAAAGTTGAAAAAAGAAAAGTTGTCATCACTTTTATTATAAAGTTTTGTCGTTAAGTTAACATTAACGTCTTTTTCTGTAAAATGTACGAAAATAAACAGATCTACATTTATCGTCCTCTGTGGAATCTTGTACTTCTAGTTTACTGGGATATATCGAATAATTAATCGAAGGAATGAATGAAATATTGTTTTATAGACAAAGTGTTAATGATATATCTAAATTCTTAATTGAAGGCCACGGTGAAAAACCCCTTCTATCATTTTTAAGGGAATTTTTTTTTGAATTTTTTCTCTGTTTAATATGAATACATAAAAAGATCTGCTCTATACGAGGTATATTAATACCCATCAAAATTGCAAGTAATTGTTGGAAGATTATCATCAAATACTATACACATTTTGTCCATTAGAAACCCAAGCTCCATTTTACCATCAACTTCGTAGTACTTGTGTGTACAGTTAGAATATTTGTTACAATATACTTTTTGCAAATTACAAATATGAAAGATAGTAAATCTACGAGTTTCATTTCTCGAAAAAAAGCAGATATCAATGATGTCAAAAAGTCTGGATTGGTGTCCTGACTTTACATCGTCTTACCAATACACGGCGATTCGTAAAAGCAAACCTTTTCTAATTATAAAAACATGATAGATTCAGCATATATATACATTTATCAAATACCTGAGCCAATTCTGTTTTTGATCGCTCAGACAAACTTTCTTCGTCACTTCCATGACAACATGGGTCAGCATATGCATCATCCCCATTTTTCACCGCAATATGATGGGTTGCCATTTGGAAGTCCAGCAAAGACTTTGAAATGTGCCTATAAAATGTGATTTACTCAATATAATTACCATTGTGTAACAGTTTATTACTTTGCCACCAATTCGACGACTAATTCCACGACATATGCCAACTGACAGATATTGTAGATCACACAATGTTTTTATTTATTTTTCATTTTCATTCACATAAAGTGTAATACGTTGACAAAGATTATTGTACTGTGTGTTGAGTATATCAAAGCTGTTTTAAATACTATAACAATAAACTTATGACATCTAATGTGCAGGGTACATTCCTGACGTCATCATAGTAATTAATTGGATATTATTGTATTAATGTTATGTAAATGAGCATTTTTAAATAAAATGCTTGTACCATACGGACATGTTTATCTATCTCTCATAACTTGAGCATGAACAATAATTAAAACGTTAGAAAATATTGGTTTCGCCCATTATTTAAAATTAATTATCCCACGTTTACAACTGTTTTAATGCCCTGACATATTAAGCAAAATAGACGATGATTTTATATAATAGGTACTCGATATACCAAAACTGTGAAATTCTCATCTTTTACATTCAGGTCGAGAACTTGGGTTTGTTAAAATATAATGAAACTACTTTTATCTGTGCCATCCTATCTAACTATAGTGATTGATTTTGATTAATATGTAAATGATTAGATTTTTAGCGAACTCATTGCTCGTTCAGCAATTACCGGCTTATGTTACGGAAATGCTGCTTCCCCAACGCCAAATCAATTTGTATATATGGTATTAATCGATTGTCTAACTAACAAGATTTAACCTATGTAATGCACTTTAAACATTATAAATATGATTTTTCTTTGAAAATGGCCAAATCTGCTGTCTTGTAGATTACAAATAATGATAAATGAGCTCGAATCTCGGCCACAACTGACCTAAGTCGAAAGGGGTAGCAACTATTCCTTCGCCATGCGCTCTTCACTTGAAGTGAAAGTTGCGGGTCCTTTGTATGAGACCTTGAAATCCAAGGTCCCGTGTTTCGGCAGGCGTTGACATGATAGAAATCCCTCACTGCTCAATGGCCTTGTGTGTCGAATAAAGGTCCAAATGGTGTGTTCCCGTTTTGCACACATTTGATAATTAGGTATATTACAATAGGTGTGAAATGTGTTTTGATAACAATTATAGTCTGATCTCTGGTTAGGATTTACCAGGGTTTATCTGTATTTTACCTATGTCTCATGAACTGGAAAAATAAATATTGATTTAAGATATATGAATATTGGAAAAAGTATAAACATTTAGTGAATATTTTATTTAATATTAATCATTATATTTTTTAAAAAGTCTGCCATTTCTTGAAAAACAAATAATTTTTAAAGCTGATTATTCAGAAATTGAGACCGATTACCATTCATGATTAATTATTAAAAGTAAAGAAACAAATAAAAACTTGTAATACACATGATAATGATTTTTGTTGGTTAAATTTCTAATCTTATTTTCCAATTCTCTCCTATATGTTCACCTTTCCCCTATCTACCAACTTTGGTATAGATTATACCAATTAACTAATTATCTCACCTGGTCAAATTCCCGTTTTGCCCAAATTTTTCTCTGCCGGAAATTCAAATGTGTGCAAAACGGGAACAAACCGTCCAAATTTGGAGTCCTTCACCGGTGTATGTTGATGTCATTACATGAGTGAAATATTTCTCAAATGTGGATGTAAAACAACATACAATCAATCAATAGATCCTTCAAAAATCCTTTATTTAAAGTGTGAATGATAATATGATTTTATTCATATTGCTTCTAAATTATAAAATAACACATGTCTCTTAACACTTTAAGCAAAAATATTAGGGTGTTGCTAAAACGCGGAACGGAAAACGGAACGGAAAGCGGAACGGAACGGAAAACGGAATATATTATTTCGGATTAAATCGCTAAAAATACATAAATTTAATCATAAACGATATATCTTATACATATTAGATTCCCCACTATTAAATACAAGTTGAGTTATTCATGCCCAGTCTCTTATTTACGAAAATCGCTGATATAGCAGTGACCTAGCAGGAATTTGAAAAAAGGGGGGGGGGGGTAAACTTGCTTGAAAAGTATTTGACAAGCAAAAAAAAAAACAAAAACAAACAAACAAACAAAGAAAAAAAAACACCCCAAAAACAAAAAAAGACACTTATTTGTTTCGGGAAAGGGGATAAGTCCAAACTCCAATATCTTTCAGTCTATGTTTTTACACTAAACTTACTACATTATATTGATTACATCTGATTCAACAAAACGCGTAAGGTTGTCAATGAACATTTCTATAGTAAAAGGTTATGACTGAAAAAAAGGGGGGACATAAATAGAGTCGCTTTCTATATATTTAAATTCTGGATAAACGAAAACTTTTCTGTGGTAAATTTAATGAAGCATCTTTACATTCAATGAAGTTAAACTTTGTATGTGATGTTTGTGCGTGTGTGTGTGTGTGTGTGTGTGTGTGGTGGGGGGGGGGGTGAGTTTCAATTTTTTCCCGCTCATCGGAAAGGTCTGAGAAGTTGCAAAAGGTCCGCTCCCCTTTTTGTGTCCGAAATATATACAAGTTTTAACACATTGATTTTTTAAGTGACTGTATTCCCCCACCCATACCCAAAACTGCCCCTCCCCTTTCAAGATTCCTGGATTCGCTACTGCTTGCATAATCTGAGTGATAAAACTACAGAGAAGTGTAGTTATTTTTTTCTTAACAAACATTGGCGTCAGAAGCAAACTGAAAGGGGGGTTAAACGGAAGAGAAAAAAATTACAACGCACAAAAAAACTTGACAAGCCAAAAAAGGAAAATATGTCCTATTTCGTGGAGAAGGGGGGAGTGGGGGGGGGGGGGTCGAACTTCTTTCAGTACCAATTTTTTTGTTTCAAACAGTACCTTTTAACCTTCCTTGGCCTAATCTGCGACATTCCTGTTGGAAGTGGGGGTGGGGGCTAAACATACATGTACGCTCCAATATTCATTGCCTATACCATTGCTACCTTTACAAATAAAAGTGTCTGTGACTGGGGAGGGGGGGCTAACCCCCCCCCCTCCCGGTTCCGATGCCTATGACAAATATATGCATGTACATACTAGTACTGTTTTTCCTTCTCCCTATTTCAAAACATATCTTTTTTTATGAAACAATGAACTTTCTTAAAAAAAATAATTTGTTTGAAACGCTCAGATAAATACTCGGGACTTTGAGTCTAGTTAGTATGTATTTTATAGATAATCGCTTGTACAACAGTTCTGAGCGGATGGTGTGTATGATTCACATTATATTATAAGAGTTTACAATAAATTTTTATTAGGTATGACTTTCGCATCAAGGATATTGCTTTTATATCTGATTTATATCGAACCTATGTTATTTGTTTGACATATGTTTTCCGTTTTCCGTTCCGTTCCGCTTTCCGTTCCGTTTTCCGTTCCGCGTTTTAGCAACACCCAAAATATTACATGTTCCTAACATAAATTGAGTAAACACAATGTCAAAAACAAACAAAAAGAAAATTTAAAAAAATTAAAAAAGAAAAAACAATAATATTTTCGCACAGGTTTCAAGTATGCCTTTATGAAGTGTAAAAAAGATCTTCAGATGTAAAAAATGTATTAATGAGAAGAAAATACTACTCGTATTAATAAAACTAAGAATTCACTTGTTTAATTTCATTTCAGTTTTTCATGAGTAATAATTAAATATTTTTATACTTACTAAATTAAAGAGCTACTTTGTAGATCAATTTACAATATAGGACTGGTTCTCGGACCAGTCCTCACGGTGGGATACTAGTAGTCTGAAAGCGATCACAAATATATTGTATATTTTTTTTTAATGCCAGGGTACTATATTTAAAGCCAACTCACATAGACTAAATATAAACTAGGAAAATTGAGGATATATTTAGACCTGAAACTGAAAATTTGTGCAAAACCAAGATATAAAGCTATAAACCTTATAAAATTATCAAAAATAAAACTAGCACGACAAAAGACAAAAAGGTATTATCCTAGAACTAAAACGGGTAGATGTTGATGCGTCCCATTAGAGACTTTTTCAATCATGCATTTAGAGTAGAAACCATATACCTGTTAAGAAATACAAATTTTGACCTACAATCTGCACCGAGGACTATATTGAATAGCAATTGAGGATTCTTTATCCCCCCCAACGCTTTCTGTAACGGCACCGTGTAATTCATGGACTGGAGTCTTGGAGTGGAGTTATGGAGTGGAGTTTGGAGTCAATTTTTGGAGTCTTAGATTTTCTTTAAACATAATTATGCAGAATTTTTTTTTCAGAAATGGCATTTGTATGATTGTCTTCAATATTCTAAAAAAAAAATTATTGGCAAGATAAACCTCTAATTTAAGTGCATATAGGCAACACCCATCAGCCACGCAATTCTAAATTTATAGGACCCGACACAGTGCTGTGATTTTTCTTATCTCTCTTTGATTTTGACATCGTTTTGAATAAGTTATTACTTATTGACATTATTGTTTTTTCAGCAGTGTGTTTCGGCGGTTTTATATTGTATTGGTGTATTAAAAATCTAAATTACGGCCCCGCCTTTATCAGGGATCCTGCCATAATTTCTATTGTGGCAAAATAGCATGAGAGACTGTTCATGAATTTAATACTGCCACTGTATGTCCCACAAACTCAGTTTATCAGTATCTGTCAAGAGTTAATTATACAAGAGCCGGCAGTGCATTGTGATTACAACAGAGCCATTTAATCACCTTGAGCGCCGAGTCATCATATAAAGTACTAACATTTTTTAGGAAACTGAAAATGAATAGAGGATTAGCCAGTGTTTAATTTCCTCCAAAGAGTAACGTACAAGTATTATAGCAGTCCCGTTATTTAGATATTTGATAGTTTGTTTTCGGTGAACAATTCAATGACTTTTATCATTGAGGAAAAGCACAGAACTATTCCAAGGTAGCAGATGTTTAAAAATATTCTTTATATCATAATTTATCAACAAGATGTATTTGTGAAACACTGATGCTCCTGTATGGCAGCTTATGGCGAGGATTGAAATTTCTCAAATTATCTAGTCAATGTATTTTTAAGTGGGTCAAACGTTAAGGTCAATGTCAAAAGGTCAAATATTGTCATACCCAATAGAAGTCTTGTCATTAGGAATATACCTGAAAAGCATGAAAGCATTATTACTAACAGTTCAGACGTTATGGTAAAGATATTTTGAAAAGCTGGTCAAATTCTAAAGTCAAATGTACAAATATTTTATACCTAATGAAAGGTCTTGTTACAGTGGATGCACATGTCAAGTATGAAAGCCCTAGCATCAACTAATAAAAAAAAATACTGGCTATGGATAAAGTTTAGAAATTATTGGTAAAAGTGGGGCAAACCCTAAGTTCAAGGTCAAGAGGTCAAATTTGGTGATCCCAGAAGAGAAGTTTTGTCACAAGAAATACACATATGAAATATGAAAGCCATAGCCCTACCCACTCAAAAGCTTTGGATAGGATTAAATTTTGTGCTGATAACAGACTAACAGACATATAGACAGACAAGGCAAAAACTAAATACCCTCTTCGAAACTTCTATTGCGAGGGCATGAAAAGAAAAGGCACAGAGGGATAAGACGATAAATTAAAAAATCTAAAGCGGAAGGAAAAGTAAATGATACGAAATACGTAAAAAAATTATTTTAACAAAAAAATGAATATGTTAAATATCAAAAACTTATTCCTCATGATTCAAATATCACCATATATGAAAGTAAGAATTCTTATTAAAAATTCTATCAAAGGTTATGTCATGAGGTAATCTGTGTGTTTTTGATTGTCTTGACTACTTATTAATATGTCTATTCATCCCACAGTTCAAGATAACGTGTTATGTATGGATAAACAGAAAACGGACATGTGTTCCATTAATGTTTATGCTTTAGGTAAAACTAGTTTATTCTGAACTCTATTTCTATTAACAAACGCAATTTTGCTTGACTCCAAAAATTGACTCCAAACTCCACTCCATAACTCCACTCCAAGACTCCAGTCCATGAATTACACGGTGCCTTCTGTAACAAGGGACGTCGGTTTATACTGTCTCAACTGAAAGACTCGCGACTTTCCCTTCTGATGCCGAGCGGCTCTTGGCGAAGAAACGGTCACCGAGAATCGAACTCAGACCCTCCAATCATGAGGGAAATGCTTTACACTATAGGTTACTGTAACTGATGCGGATCGACTTAGGAAAGAACTTAGAGATACCAAGTAATTTTCCATTTTTTTCAATATCAAGGGTAGATTGAAAAAAAATAGCGATAATAACTAAACGTTTTTAATTTCAAGAGTCTAATGTTTCACGACTTCCTATCTTGAACATTTCACGGTGGTTTTAATTTCGCGGTAACCGTATCTCTCTTCAGTTTATATTTGCAATATTGTAATTGTGAATTTATTCTTTCAAAAAAGATACAGAAACTGACTTTAAACCAACATTTTTTTCATGCACTCAGGTTTCCTGGAATTTTTTTTAACCATTTACTGTTTTACAGAAAAAAGGAATAACAAGATTATATGAAATATATAAATAGATGAATGCTACATTCATATGTTACAATATTCACGATGACTTAAGTTTTGCAGAAAATTCTTTGATTGCCATCCTAGTGAAATAAAAAAAAAAGCAATATTTATTCCACTTATACAGTACTCTCGTATAGTAAGTTTATATTTAGAATTTAGAAGCAAGATTCATTTTCTTCTCAACAATAATACTGCATTTGATTAAAACTTTTTATTCATAAATTTTGTGCATATTAGAGATGAATTCATTTCTGATATTTTCTTTACATAGTGTTATATATACATGTATGTACAATATCTATACATTTACTTGTATTTATAAGCAAATTCCTTGATGCAACTACAACATACAAAAGATTATTGAAGTTAAAAAACTGCTTCTTCACATGACACTAGGGCCATGGCACGAGTACATAATTCTGCACATTGACCAAATGATCCTCGGTAGTTCTTCACTTTAAATTTACTACAATCCATTTCTTAACCGCCTTGTCACATGTTGGACATTTCATCATGGCGGGCGCACAGTCTGAGCAGCATACCAAGTGTCCACACGGTGTAAAAATTGACGATACATTTTTCTCATAGCAAACATTACAAATGACTTGGGTCCGTAGTCTGCTATTTTCAGCCCTCAACCTATCAATGTCTACAAGGAAAAAAATGAAATAAAACCACATTGTTTAAAAAATTGATATTAATTATATTAATTTTATAACAGATTGGAAGTGTTAAAACAAATGATATTTGAAAGACTTACCAATAATTTTGAATCCGTCTTGCATGCTGAATGTTTATGTATATATGAATAGTAACCTATTTTTACATGGCGTCTGCGTTTATTTTTATGAACAACGGTTTCTTTAAATAAATTGGAAATCCCCTTCGTAAAAAGAGAAAGGTCCATATAGTTATACTACGTGTACAAGTGTCTTATCAGTTTCACTGTTATATATTATTTGCACAATCAACAATGAGAAATTTTGCAGGCTTAGGTCAGCGACAGTGTAGTATTAACGAAGTTTATATACGATAGTTTCATAAATTTCATTATGAAACCATCATAATAGTTAGATAGAAATTATTTTCACATCCACTGAATAATTTTTTTAAAAAATTTCTTATAAAACCTATTACAGATATCAATCCACCAATAATTAAACAAAATATAGCTTTAATCGATTTTAAAGACACCCACTTGAAGGATATCTTAAGATTTCTCAAGAAGCAGGATTTAGACTAAATAAAATGTACGGATCAATAATACAGTTTTTATATTATCCCCTACTTAGAAGAAGAACTAATTTAGATTGATTGTACCTTAACGTACCTTTCGAAAATTGTTCACTCATATGGAGACACCACCACTTCCCGGTGGAGAGCTGCAAATTATTTCTTATGCTCGGTACTTAGGGCCGTTGAGCATTGAGGGACCTTTTTCATGCCAGCATCTACTGCGTCACGGGACCCAATCGAAGAACCGGTCCCCACGTCCCACAGTTGGAATTTTAATTAGAAATAAATAAAGTAATATCAAGGATAGCATACTTTTTTCTGCAATACTTCAACCGTTTATCAGCATCTTGATAAACAATAATGGCATGTTATCCTTTTTAATCCATCTGTTTCTAAACTCCCTCTCTTATTCTTTCGTAAGTTAACCCTGTAGCTCACTGATCTATTCATGGTCAGCACCAAACATGAAAACAATGAAAATTAAAATTGAAACTCCCAGGGGCTGAATGTAAAGTATATCCACTTGTGAATTCTTTCATACACTATTGTGTAGAAACAAAAAAAACAAAAAAAAAAAAACAAAAAAACAAAAAAAAAAAAAAACAAAACAAAACAAAAAACAAAGAAGAAGAAAGAAAGCCAAAGTTTAATAATTTTTTTTATTAATGGTACAATATAAACACAAGGTTTACTCTTATTTTCAACAAGATAGAAATATTTACATCTTAACATTCTTTATACTCAGCATGATCACTGTTTCTTTTTTAAAATAATTCGATACATGATAAGTGTAAGTAGGTTTAAGTCTTTCAAGGATTCCCTTCTTAATTTAATAGAGCACAAATCTATATATCAAATACTCAGTACTTATACAAATAAAAAACACATACCATATTAACAGTTTTTGCTACTAATGATACAAATCTTTATTAAAAAAACATAAACCTTCACACGACGCTCAAAGCATTTGTGTGTAATAATATTTGTACAAATTAAAATACTTATAAAACATCTTCAAAATAACCCCAGAAAGCTTTTTACGCCTTCTTGCAAATCCATTAATCAAATACCTATAAGAATTTTCGGTTATATGCTATATAAAAAGAATGCAATTCCTCATAACAGTACCTTATACAGAGTTAAATATTCCTGTATAAGGTAAAACAAATTTAACACATGGCTACATAAAACTTCAGCATTTGAGGAATTTAAGTTAAATGTTTTCATGACTGTCAGTTTACTGGACAGCTGAAAATCCATTACATATTAAGAATTTTCATATTTTATAATAAACAAAATCACGACAGATTCCAAAAAAATTGGTTTATCTTATAGCGTTAACATATTTTAGAATGTTTACGGTTTATACCACAGGCACTTGACGTTACTTATTTTTCTTTTAATAACAAAAATTATACACATACCTAATAATTATTAGGTATATGTATATTTTTTTTATTAAAAGAAAAATAAGTAACGTCAGGTGCCTGTCGTTTATACATACATAATATCCTTTAAATGTTCATCATCTGTTGAGATTGCATATTGTGCAATTAAACATGAAGACATTGAACCAATTGCAAACTGAAATCTTAAGGGAAAAGTTGAGTATTTTACTGTCTTAAAATTGCAAATATTTCTGTGACCATTTTATGATAGTCTTGAACGGGAAAATTACAGTATTTTACCCAACATTAGTAATACATGTACATGGAAGTATGTATTCTGAAGTGTGCAATCAGTACCCTTAAGTAAGTAAGCTCCTTTTATATTTCAGCGAATGTTCAAGATGTCTATAAATATATCCGTGTGAAACAAGTGACAAACGTTGCGTTTATAGTACCTCAACAATAATGAACAAGTGTATAAAAATAACAATTGTAAACATTTAAAATATGTTAAAAATATAAAATTTGAAAATAAAAACAATTGTAAAACCGTATATAAAATTAACTACAATACCAATTGTAAAAAAAATGACTCTGTAAAGTAAAATAAACAGTAACACACCTTTTGATAAATTTCCCTCCTGCCCTTTTTCATTTGACATTTATCATTCGAACATATTCAATATCAATTTATCAAAATCACAAAAAAAAAATTGTCGGAAAAACAAATGCTTTCAGATTGTAAATCCAGTCCCCTTTTAAACTCATTCATCTTGTTTCAGATCTGAGAGCTTTGTATGCTTGATTCCGTGACATTCTATAATCTGTTGATCACACACTGGACATAGGCGTACACTTCTTGGGAAGCAATTCTGGCAGAAAAGATGACCGCATCCTTCTAAAACATACTCAGATTTCCTGGTCAGGCACACACAACAATACAAGCACCTTTTTAACTGGGTAACATCCTCCTGTAGAGTATGTACATCTTTGGACAAAAAATAATATTGAAACTTTTTAAGCACTTTTTATGGTATGTAAGTTTAAGTATTATTGTGTTTAAAGAATTTTAAAACCATCAGTTTAGAAAAAAAAAAATAAAAATGAAATAATGAAAGTGAAATACCTGTGTTACAACGCACTTTGAAAAATTACGCACTTTGAAAAAAATTTTCAAAGTGCGTTAAATTTTGGGACCAAGTCAACGCACTTTGAAAAAATAAAATTTCTTTTCAAAGTGCGTTGATATGGACCATATTAACGCACTTTGAAAAACTGTGTATGGATTTGTCAATATTCTTGCAAATTTTAGGTATGATAAATAATTGAACCTGTTTGATAATTCTTCTGTGAAGAGGTCACATCAGGATGTGAAACTGAGCGATTTTGATTTTTCCATACTTTGAAAATTCTTTCTCGCTTAAATGCTTTACTGTACTAATTTTTTTTTTCAAGTTTGCAGGCATTTTATGTAAACTTCAATTTATTGAAAGTTTTCGAAGTCATACCAGTCATGTAAACACATATATTTGGGTGTAGCATAGGCATCAGTACCGGAAAGGGGGGTTACATGTAGGCACATAAATATTTTGCAAAGATATACATAATATATACATGTATGCATTAAAAATTGGGGCTTACCTGTGGAGTCAACTTTCAATTTGCTACCGACGGCTATGTACAATGTTTAAGAAAAAAAGAGTTGGGATGAGAGACCTTCTACTCGCCTTCTCCTTGTTCTCAATGATGTTAAATGAGTTCATGTAAATTTTAAAAAGTTTTTCGAAAGATATAATAATTACAATTTGATTTCCTCTATTACTAAAATCTAAGTCTAGAATTTTTATTTTCATTCTTATCTTTTTTTCAAAGTGCGTTAAATGGCTCCATGGTAAAAAAATTTTATGTGCATTCTTAACGCACTTTGTAAAAATTTTTCAAAGTGCGTTGAGTGTGTCCAAAATTTAACGCACTTTGAAAAATCTTACGCACTTTGAAAAATTTTTTCAAAGTGCGTAATTTTTTCAAAGTGCGTTGCCACATACCTGAAGTTGAATTTTTGTTCAAGATATCATCAATATTGCACGTTGAGGGTATTTTACACGATTCCTCTTTAATCTCTCCATTTTTGATCATTTGCTCAATTTCATGAAGAATGATATCTTTGAATATGTTCTTCTCACCTAAAATGAAGAATTAAATTGCACATATTTAAACTATAACATGTTAACAATAGTGGTATATAAATAATCCTGTTGGTGCATTCAAACAATTGTTTTTAATTATCCTGTAATGATTTAGTTCTACTATTATTTCAGAATCATATTCTATTTTATAACGAATATAACAGAATATATGTACGGATCAGATAAGAACACATATGTAAATGTAATTCATAAAGGTACAGAATCTAATTAAACCTGAAACCATTGATAATTCTACATAATTAAAAATAATTCCAATGATTTAAAAAAGAATTTTTTTGCAGTATCGTTGCAATATTAATTGTACATTCCGAAAAGTTATTTTAAAAATATATGTATATGTATTGAAGGAAAAAAGAAAACCGTTTAAATTAATTACTCGAAAAAAAAAATCTTCGATTACAAAATTAAAGATATTTTTCAACAATTAGCTTGGAAGCATCAATGTTATATGAAATAATATTTTAAAAAACGCAAGTTGCCTACTTGTTGTGTTGTTATTTTAATCTCTATGATGATAACATTGTTAAATATCCAAGGCTCATTCGCACATTTTGCCCTTTGTATTATCTCTATTAAAAGTGTACATGCATAAACAACAAAATAAAAAAGCCCCTCTTTCAGTACCCTTATAGTCTTAAAAGATTAAGTTCGAGAAACAAACAGAAGGAACCAACATAATATCAAAACACTTACCCTCTCGTTAGACTTCCTATCTCCAAAGCATAAATTCTTAGAATCTAAATAAGCAGTCATAAAGGACAAACCTTTAGTGGAAACAATATTCTTTTCCTTCAAGTTACTAACCCGTCTTTTGAAGAATTTTCTCAATCGCTTTTGCTATGATACGTGGTTTGAACCCCTCCTGGAGAACCTCTTGTGCAGCTTCACTTTGCAAATGTTCAGCCATATCTTCTATCAGTTCAAGTAATATAATAAAATAAAATAAAACTAAATGAAGAAGTGAATATTTGCTTACATATCCGATTAAGTTAAGTGAAATGTAACACGAAAGTAATAAGTCATTCGGATGACACTGGTAACCTAATATCATGCACAATTTTATTAGATCGTGTGAAAAAATATTTAAAATTTTAAAAAATGCCGCTGCTAAAAACATGTCGCATTAAAGAATAGAAAAAAAAATATGTAAGAATTTTTTTTTGCCTTACCGATAATTTATTATGCTGAGTAAGAGAATCCCGTGAGTGATAAATGTGTAGTCTGCAAAAAGAAAGTAAAATATTTTTCCTGTTATTATAATAATAATACAACCAGTACATCAACAAACTGATAATTACATCTGGACTTTATTCTAATTGCGGGATATAAAGCAATGATTAAAAAAAAAACATTTAAAAGCATTAATTTTCCAAACCTTCAGCTCTACACGCTAAATAGTCCTCAACTTCCTACAAAGCTACAAACACGTCACGATGCATAGAGTGATGTGTCGCTATTTATAATTGCTGGAATTCCCTTTAAAATCCGATTCAGGCTTATAGTTTCCATATTTGAAACATTTTCATTTCTGCTTTTCTGGATAAATTCTGTATTTTCACGAGTAAGATGGCTACACTAGTTATGGAAGGTAACTTGAATTAGATAAATTTAACTCTGGTAGATATTAAATCTTATTCAATTTATCTTTAGTTTCGGTTTTGCAACACTGTTCACTAGGTCAGATATATTTTTTTCCATGCCGTCAGATATAGCCTAACAAGGTTTTGACAATTTTAAAATGATAATAAATAAAAAATAAAATAAATAAAAATAAGATAATAATAAATCAATTCTATATTTTGACATTACCCACAAAATGCGTCTAAAGGATATATTAAATTATTAAACAAATAGAAAAAGGTAAATTTTTAAATACATTGAAGTATCAATTTGAATGAATGAATTTTTATATGCAGTCTTACAGGAAGAGAGAAGGAGGTTACAGGAGCTTACACTTTGTAAGGTTTGTCTGGACGCCAGCATATCCTGTGTATTACTACCGTGTGGGCACTTTGTCTGTTGTTCTGACTGTGCTCCAGCTCTGATAACATGCCCAGCTTGTCAGGGGAAAATCACGGACTTCCTACACGCCAAAGTAGATTGAAATGAAGGAAAATGACTTGTCACTCCTTTCACTGTTTAAGGAGTCCTAAATAGTTTTGAAATATTTAAAGTTACAATCATTTTCCTGGTAGGGAAATAAATTATATTATATTTTCATGCCTTAGATTTCAATAGTTTCCTCGACAGTTTTTTAAAAAGAACAAGGAAAATATTTTTCTGTATTGATTTTGACTGACGTGTGTTAATGTTTAAATTTATATAATGTCTTTGTTTTGTTGGTTATTAACATTTTAATTCATCATTATTGTACATAATGGAACCAAGATTAAAAATCAAATATGCTCACAATTTATGGACTAAAAATATATTTTAGGGAAAGTCCACAGTTTTACGGCTCCGCTTATAAGTTATACTTTTATTCACAAATCTTAAAATCCTGGTTATCATAACTTTTTTATGGGAATGATTTTTAAGATGATGATTAATTATACAGCAAATATGTAACTGTTTCTTATAAAGTCATTGTCCACACAAGACATATGAAATGTATTTTTTGTAAATTAACACTCTGCCTGTTAGATCTTAAAGTGGTTATATACTCACAAAGGCACACTGTTTTTAATTGCTTGTATGGACCATTCTGGATATAATGGATATTATTTAACAAATCAATGCAACTCGAGATACATATTTATTGATTTTAAGTGTTCTAATTCTTTAAATATATATATTACATTTTCCAAATTATGCAAAGAATGATTGTTATACTTTATATCCCCCCCCCCAAAAAAAACAAGTAAATGTATACATGTTGAAACATTTTCTTTTGTTAAATGTACTGTCGTGTCGCCCTTTTGGGTGACCGCACTTAATTTGGGAATTTAATTAAATAACTCGCTGGCGTAGTGAAAGACCCTAAGATATGGTTTTGCTTTCCAGCCACCAGGTCCAATGTAGGTTTGGGTGCGCTGTAATATGAAATAGTCATATTGCAGAGTTTATTTGATAAAATAAATTATGTCAGAAAGGACAGTACGCAGTCAATCATAATAAATGTGTATTTCTATGAATCTTATCAAATAAAATTTTAAACAATTTTAGAGAATAAATGGCATGTAAACAGTAAAGATTTCAACTGAAATTTAGGTACTTTGTGATTTTGTCCTGAAGGACTTGGGCAGATAGAACATCAATTTGTTGTACTTTTCAGCAAAAGTTTTCAGAACTTCTCTAAAAGTTTATTCTAAATATGTCATTCTTAGGGGTATAAAATATGAACTCACTTTTCTCTTTGTTAAGTTTTGGTTGTTGAATTTTTAGACGTATCAAAGTTTTAGTTCATCATATCGTAAGTTTAATGGTCGCTACAATGACCTTGTCCGCAAATAAAATTTACCACTGAGTCAAATGCTGACTGTCGTTTTTCATACTAATTGATAGTCAATTATTTTATACTGAATTGACGACGGATTTTTCCGTTATTTCCCGATCATTACAAGGAGCATACGGCGGATATGACCGCTCGGCAAGGGTTGCCCACTCCCTTACGACACCTGTTCTCACCTCCGATGTTTTGGAGATCCGTGTTTGTTCTGCTCCTATTTCTTTTTTTTTTTTTTTTGACTTTTGAACTTGAATACGGTTCGTTATCTCCATATATTTCATATTTTAATAGGGAGATTGTTTGAAACTAAGCATGCAAAGACATTTCTTAAGAGTTATTTTGATTATTTAAATGAAAAAAATATTAGTTTTGATAAAAGTTGTGATAGCCCAGGCCTATCTTAACGGTAAGGTAAGACTACACTCAAATTAAATATTGATTATGATTAATTAGTTTTAAAAAATATTTAAAAGACTTTTCATTGATAAACTCGCATAAAACCCTCATTTATATTCCAATGACAAGTCTTTTTCGGTCAAATATCTTTACGAGTTCCCGTGAGTAAATCTCAAGCTTCCTTTTTTTATTTATTATACGACTCATATTCATAAGGATACATGTTTTAAACATAAACACGAGCGCTTACAATATCAGAAGAGATCTTTTAGCATAAATGTCCTCACATACTGTTTATTTTATCCTTTTTAAAAGTTTATATCAATTTTGAAGAATTCAGAAGGTTTAAGCCTTGAATTTTCTAATTGGTAGAAATGCTGTGAAATGAATGACCAAAGATGACGAAGGATGACCATGCTTGTTCGTTATCTCTATATGTTTCATGATAAAGCTTTTCAAATTAAAACATTACAATTGAGAGCAGAAAAAAAACCAGATCATGAAAACATCAGAGAGGAAGTCAGGTGTCAACGAGGTAAAAACATTCCCTGTGAATCGATCACATCCACTTTGAGACCTTTGTCCTCATCGAATGATCAAACTCATCTATTGACAAGTCAGTATGAAAATATCAATAGCCTGTTGGAAACTATTTGTATTTAAAATGTCAGCCAAAATTATAAATTTTTAAGGGTTGAATTATTTTTATTTACATTGCCCAATATCACAATATGTGTAAAAATAAAACAACCTGTGAGCTCTTTTTTACATTATGATCACTTAATGTAACTCACAGACACTTACTAACATAATTATACAAATACAGTCTTCCTAATGACAGATCGAATTTGCAATGAAATTGAAGAATTATAGAAATGTTGACTTTAAAGGAGGGCGTATTTAAATTATAAAGAAATTGGCGTTGTCATGTTTAACATCAAGTTTATTGTTTTTAGCGATCATTTTCTTTATTCAGTAAAACATATGAATACAAATGTTTGCATACCAAAAAAGCAAGATATGTCTGTGAAATATTAATTTTCCCAATGGCAGCCACGGTTAACAGTGATCAATTTCCAAAATTTAGATAAAAATTTCAAAAATATTGACTTGGTACTTAAAGGAAGGTTTGTCTCATGCAATGCATATTAAGTAAAATATAAATGCCCTAGTTCCTATCGTTCAAAAATGAGGGCAAGGTTAAAGATTTTAGACAAACAATCAGTTTGAAAGATTTTCAGACATAGAATTCTAGCCCATCTGTTAAGTTTGTAGATATTGCTAATTTTACGAAGGTGAAAGTGTTATTTGAAGAAATATTGCAAATTGTGACTAAGTAATACAGTCTTAACAATTAAAATTTAAAAATTCAGCAATCGGCTTCAAGATTGATTGTATTTGTTGTCTATAGATTACCTCATTTTGAAATTTGTACATAGAGCATTCCCAGCTGAGAGATAAACCCATATAAACCTTCTCTGCATGTGATAAGGGTACATAAGCAAGAGAAGTTCACGATTAAAGGCTTCACGTTAATTTATCATGATTCTTTACTGTTAGGTTACCATTAAGGTCAGACGACACGTTCCCCAAATATCTGTTTTGTATATCTTCATGATATATGAAAAATATACAAAATTTTCATTACTTTCTGATTTCTAAACCGGTTTTTAATTGATTTTAAAAATTTGAAACACTTAAAATTTGATTTTAACAAACTAAGTTTTTTCCCTAAAGGATTATATAAGAAATGCCACCCTGTGGTATCTCGCACAAATGCCTGGTAAGGTACCTCAATTTTTTGTGAGTAAACATGTTAAAGTATTAATTCTTCAATGACAAAATCTTGGAAAAAATTATATATTATTTAGGAACGTCTCGTCTTTCCTTAAAGTCTTTTTCAGTACAATGTCCAAATATGAAACCTGTGTCAGACTGTGGTGTAGCTTTTATTTCAAGTTCATTCGAGTCGATATATGAATGGAAATAACACTCATTAACTGATAATGGATATATCTAAATCAAAGAATTTATATGAATTCTGCTGGATCAAAAAAGTGAACTTGAAGAGTGATTCTTTTGGAAATGAATTTATTAAAAACAATTATATGTAGACAATTTGACAAAGAGAGCAGAATAAACAATAGATTAATAAAGAGTACAATAAGAAATAACCCCGAAAATATGGAAATTTTTTAATGAAAGTGCATAAATTTGGCATGTAATATCGGTAATACACGTATAAATTATATTATTTTGAGTTTTCAAAATCTAAACACTCAGTATATTTTGTTATATCAAATTTTTAATGACCTGCTGAGAAGTAAGAAATTTTGAGTTATTTAGAAATAGTAAAACGTTGGGACAAGAGCTCATTTTTTGGTACAGAAATTTCTGACTCAAAATTAAGTTTGAGACCTTTTTAATATTATTGCAAAAAATTATTGGCAAAGTCTGGTAAAGTATCTCTTTAGCATAATTTTATATTTAAATTTCGAGTTTATAACTGACGACTCCTTGCATAAGATAACAAGAAAATTTTAGACCAAAAGATTAAAAAAAATTAATTAACTAAAATATGTACCTTTTTAAGAATTCCGAAAAGTGAAATACCTTGATCAGAATCCTTATAACTTCAACAAAGAGGGAAGCGTATTTTTGATATATTGGTAAAGTTACAGATCATCTATCAGAGATGTAGTGGCGCATACAAAGAAAGACAACTTTTAAAAAGGCATTAATTAGATGCATCTTTTACGAATAACTTTAATGAATATGATTACAATGGTTTCAATAATTTTCCCAACTTAATCATCTACAATGGTCAGAGTACTTTGAATTGTTCCGCCGTGTTCAGGTTCAAAGTTTTCAGTCATATTGATATTTCCATTAAGGGACAGCGTCTTATTTACAGGTGCTTCTGGAGTTTTCACTTCATTTGGTGTTGCTGTTGCATTGAATCCCTGATCTTCTGTATTAGCTGGTACCGTCGTTGTTGTAATGCAGAAAGGAGCATGCGCCTGGGTGTATCCGTAGAACTCTCCTCGAGCCCTTTGGTCGACGTCATATCCCATGTGTGTACAATTTTCTTGGATACAAAGTTCATTTAAGAACGCTTCCTTTGTGCAGGAACAGAATAGAAATTTGCAATCGGATAAAATGGATTCTGTAAAGAGTTCGATGGAACGCTCATGACTGCAAGGGAAAAGTCGCTGTGCAGCTGAAAAATATAAAATGATTGGTTTTAGCTTTCCATGTTTGACTTTTAATGCTATGTATTTTAAGGGCTTGTTTGCCTAGAATCAGGATTATTTCAAATTGTCAATGAGTTGATAATTTTGTGAGAATTATAAACAGTAAAAAGTCTTCTTGGAAATACTGTCGAAATGACTTTCATATTTTCTATTGACTACTGTTTTAAAAAAATTTAGATAAGTTTTTAATAGCATCTATTAATTAAAGAATAGATGCAGTTATTTTATGAGGAAAACTTTGTTGTTACTATTTGAGTTGGGTTAGCTAGAATATAAATTAGATCGGGATCGGGATATCTCAAATTCCCCCTCTTTGCCCTGGATCCTAAAACGAAAGGTACACGAATTTTGTAGCAGACAGAATTTTTAAAAATGTGCTTTTAATCACAATTGTTTTTGAATAGTTTCATAAAATGTTATCGACAAATATCTGATTTCATGATTAGATGCATGGATGGATTGTTCTTTTTCGGAAAAAGACGAGATTGGCTTGGATTGAAATTTGACATGTCGGCATACATTGGCGTAATTTGTAATAAAACTTGTTTACGTTTTAGTATTACAAGCAAAAAACATATTAGATTGAGGAATACTTATGTAATTGTGTTTTTAAAATTGATAAATCTTGCATTAATTGAGAGATAAAGGGGGAGGGGCTTAATAGCAGTGAAACTAATCAAAACATTATAATTGTGTGTCTATCAATTTTCGCAGCATTTATTCCTTTGAACATTCTTAATTCATATAACAAGGACATTTTAAAAAATGCATTTTACAATAGACTATTAATTTTTATTCGTTTAAAAAAAAAAAGGGGGGGGGGGCTCGGAAGCAGAGTTATACCAGTTCCAGCTTTGATGATTTACATGTATCAATAACAGGGAAAATTCAAATATTGTAAGTTGTTTTCATGCAATAGGAGCTTTGTTCATATTTGGCTGAAATAATGCCCTCCATGTTAAACAACAGCTAGGACAAGCCAATGCTTTATTTCAAACTTCAAATGTACTCTTGAAATTAAATTCAGAGCTTCTCAAGTATGTCACCCCATGGTTCTTTTTGGCAATTGCAATTAGTCATACAATCAATTTGACAGTACAATCTGACTCAAGGGCATTCGCCTTAGCATTTTAGGGACATATATTTATCCCCTGTGATTGATTCACCTCATTTTGTTCTCGCTCATGCATTCTTCAATTCTAAGGCTATATACTGTTAGGAATTAAGGTATTGATAATTTTATTTATCTGGTGTTTGGGGAAATTAGGGAATTAAACTTGTACATTAAGGAAAATGACGACTCATTCCTCAATTCATGTCAAAGACCATAATCTTTCCTTATTCTGTAACCAGTTGCTTAAATTAGATATTCTCTTCTTTTAGCTATGGTAAGTATTCAAAGTTTGTAGGTTTTCTGTGTGACCCAGAAATAGTAACTGAATCATGTAATAACGATTATTCTAATTCTCAACTACTGAAAAGGTTAACTAAATAAGGCTTTAAATAAAAGGATTTAATGACAATGAACAAAGTATACTGATTAAAAATATTCTGACTTAATACTTGTGTTTACTCAAAATTTTGTGTGCCTTTTTACACATATGTGAATTTTAAGTTTATCAATGGATTACCTGTTCTCAGCTAAAACATTTCTTTACAATATTACTTAAAATAAATCATATTCTTATAAGCTATTCTTGACACTTTTATTTTATTGGTTCGAGCTTAAAGATAATGAAATATGTACATCAGATGGGAATACTATAATACCAGGATTGAAAATATTACTGAAATAACTTTGGACATACAAATTCATAACACATAAATAGGGGAGAAACATGCAATTCATTCATTTTGGGGGAATAAAAGGGAATTTTATTGTTAGACAATTAGTGTCTGACTCTTAAGGGGGAAATAGTAAATTCTTTGGGAAAAGTATAAATGGGATAGGGTTTTCAGTAGAAGAGTGTATTATGCACTGACTAGGGAGAGCTGCATACAAGGCCATCATGAAATAGGAATATTACATATCTGGGAGTATCTATTCAGTAAGATTTATTATTTACAAGATCCAGTGTATGAAGATTATCTAGTCAAGTACACATAAATATAAACTGATCTTACAAGTAGTATGGGTATTTTAATGACTAGAGGCATAATTTTTGTTTCAATATTTTTAGAAGTAGGCAATCATTGATAAACCAGAAGGCAATTAGTTAAAGGATTTTAATTTTGGAATTGATTTCATTAGCTCCACCTGTTTATATACAATGATCTGGAAAATTAAGGTGATGTATTTCACAAGGGCAATTTTCTTTGGTCTTAAGTTTGGTGACCATGCAGACATCTATAAACTTAATAAGCATGCATATAAGCAAATGGATTTCAATGAAGATACATAATTCATAGAGTAAATTTAATTTTGTTGCTTCTCCTATATTCAACAAAACAGTGGAAAACCCTAGCTCCACGATCCAGGGGTAGAAACATTTTTAAATCCAACCCATTGGAATTTCACCAACAGCCTCAGTCAGGGAATAATTGTAGGAAAATACAAAACTATTGTTATCAATGGATTAGAAATTAAAGCTTTTGTCAAATTTTTCCACTAATTATATCAGATTCATGCCATTTAAACATATCATTCATGCACAATCAAAAGCAAAATTCTATTTGTCAGTCAGAGGCTTTAATGTATGACAAAAGTTAAACTGATTCACATTAATCGAACAGTACTTTTAGGTGGTTATTGTTCAGTGTATGAATTAAACCTTTATTAAGAAGAAAATGCTTCCTTCTGATCACATTTTTAATTTTGGTTAATTAAGAAAATATTTGTTTTATTCTCCATACCTTTAGGAAAGTGGCGTACAATAATGTTTGTAATTAAGAAATAATACACTGTCAGGCAAGGTCAACACCATATTTCGTATTCTTTTTAATTATGGGGATAATTAAAATACACATGTAATCATGTATTCTAGCAAGCCAGTTTGATAGAGGAAAGGGGTTTTGCTCTGTTTATGAGCCATTTATTAGTAACATTTGTCCTGCTCCTATCATAGATTTAGGTAGTGAAGTTACACTATTATTTTAATAGGCATAGATCTGTAATTTTCATAAGAAGTCAACTGAAAGTAGTGCTATATTCCTGGTACATATAATTAATTAGCTGGAAAGATTCAGTTTATGGGAAATACATGTAGGCTGCTCAATTCTACAGATTAGTTTGGTTGAAAAAGCAATAGTTAGGATAGAGTTGAGAATTCATGAAAATAGAATTAAAATATGATGAAAAGGTTAGTTTTTTGTTTTTATTTTAACATTAAAAAGATGGCATATCAAGTACTATTATCATGTATAATTTCAAAGATAGCATTCGGAGTCATAGTTGGTAGGAAAACTTTGAATGCTGTAACACCTTGTGTTACATACATGTGAGCACTATAAGCCTGAAGAGTTAATTCTCTAAAAAGCTTACCTATTATTATGCAATTAACATGATTTATTCCCAAAGATAATTTTACATGGTAAGTAAAATAGGTTTTGTCTAGAACAGCGTTGCTCGAAACCAGAGAGAATAAATTAATACATGCTGCTGTTGAAATGAGAAGGGTACATCAGGATCAGCCATATTTATGGTGGGACAATATTTTGTCTCCATATAAATGCTTCTTACCATCTTGGTACATGGAATTCTTCAGGTTTAATAAATATCATTTTGCTAAAAAATAATCCTTTGTAAGCTAATATCAAAGCTTTTGCTGAATTTCTCATGACTTTACATATTTAAAACATCAACTGAAGCAAATTGCATATTTTCAGTCTACTTATTATAAGGAAGTATTCAATTCAGGAGGAGGGCGGTCTAGATTTATTTGCAGGGGGGTTATTTCAGTTTTCCCAGTAAATAGGGTAAATTTAGGGCGGTTGGTCGTGGGTCAGTTGATTGCGGCTTCCCCATTTTATGGAGTGACCGAAACCTGTGGATTCCAAAGGTTTCGGCCATGTGGCGTTTGCGCCGAGCCATTCAACTGATGCTATAATTCATTGTGCTGCTGCTGCTTAAAACTAACTCATTCACTGTGAAAATGTGTGCTGCTTTCAACAAATTCATGAATTGGTCTGGTTTGCTTGCTTGAAACAAACTCAGATGCTGTGCAAAATGTGAAATGCTTTCAACAAATTTCATGCACAGTGCTTTGCTTGCTAAAATATCTCGAGTAACGTTCGCGGTTTGAAAACCCGGAACGATAACTACATACATGTAAACTTGTAAAGTTTATTTAAAAAAAATACATGTACATAAAATTTAATTGTAAGGTTAATTACCGTTTGCGGTATATCCGGAACGGCCATTATTATGCTTATTATAAGTACATGTACATGTAATATTATCCTTTCATGTTGTTTGCTGCTGCTGCTGCTGCTACTGCTTGTTGTAATTTTGGGTCGCCCTGCTTGGCACCCCTTGCTGCTTTTAAATATACCACGACCAACAATCGCCAATATCAAAATAAACGTGTATAAAATCATGTTTGTTTTATTTTCCTCTATATAAATAACGTACCGTTATCAATTCGATAAATCATACAAATAATGTACAAATGACAACACACTGAAATACGGATACCATGAAAGAACAAAATTAAGAGTCAAGAAGAAATGAGCAGCCGCTGTTTATTACCAAGTAAATTTAGCTTGAAAAAAAAATAGCGTAATTGAATGATTCTCAGGAAATTTGTTAAGTCGAAATTTAAGCCAGAAACATTTATTTGAAAAAAGTAAACATATTTGTAACGAACATTTTAAAAAGTCAGAGATTTGATCAGGTTCCATGAAGGAGTATATATCTCCTGTCGATTGGACACACACGTTATGTACTCCTTGCCATGATTGGGTAAACAAAAAAATATCTATATACAACTCCGTGTGTAAATAATGGCCTAACAATTAGTACGGAAAGAGTCCATCAGTATCTGATTCAATGGTACATGTGGATATATTTGCTGACGAAGGTCTTACAAATTGAAAGAATTAAAGAGGTTTTTGGTATGCTTGTTCCATCAATTAATATATTACTGTAAAATTTCATTAATATAAGAGAAAGATAACGATTTACAGTAATCAATCTAATAAATATATCAAGTAATTTAGATGCCTTGAAGGAGAAACCATCCTACACACGTGCGTGAATCACTCAGAGTAAAAATTTGTTGACAGACATATGTCTGGTTTCCAACAGTTACAAATTGTCAGTAAGGAACTCTAGAATATTTGTTAAGTAATTCAATTTAAAGTACGTATAAAAAGTCAATAATCACAGCAATGAAGGGAAAATTTTCAGGAATAATATACAGGAATGCATTTGACAAATTGTGGTGATCAAATATAAATTTATAACTTAATATACCAAAATCAATAGCATCGAAACTATAAACTGTTTCGTAAATAACATTTTTGATTGCTCATCATAACTATGTACTTAGTTAGTTTATTTAATACCCAGGAGCAAGAAGAATTTTAAAAAATAAATTGATGCTTTCTGAAAAACGATATCCATATAGTTTTGGAGTTCACCAGGTCTTCCAACAATTTGTTAGAATTCCCATGAGAATTAACTGCGCCCTATTAAAAGCAGATCTATTTTTGTATTTGAGAAAGATTTTATACAAAAAATTGTACATGAAAGAAAATCTCTTGTTATGGCTTTCAATTCAAAATTCAATATGTAGCGGTAGGTATACAGTCAATTCTCGAATTATCGCCATTCGATTCATCGCCATTTTGACAACACACGAAATACCGATACCATGAACAAAATTTCCCAAGAACGTTTTTCCAAGTAAATTTGCTAAATAAAATTCTAATTTATAACGCCAAATTTGCATACCGAAATTTCCGCCAGAAACATTTTTTGAAAAAACAAACGTCGAACATTTTTAAGTGTCAGATTATCAGGGTCGATAATACCGCCACAGGACACACAGTGAAGCGCTTGCCATGATTGGGTAAACAAAAAAATATCTATATACAACTCCGTGTGTAAATAATGGCATAACAAAGGCAGGCAAGGTATCTGATGCAATGGTAAGAATATTAAACAAGAACTTACAAATAAAGAATAAGGTTTTTGGACATGGCTTGTTATCAATATATATTTGTAAAATTTCATTAATATAAATAAAGATTCATTTACAGTAATCAATCGGCTAAATTATCAAGTAAAGATGCCTTGAAGGAGAAAAGTACACACGATAACTATATTATTTAGATGTTTTGCTTTAAACAATGCAAGGTTTGCTGAAAAAATAATTATAAGGTATAAATTGTGATTATTTAATTACAATGTTGCCATAAAAATACATTTAATCAAGAATGAAGGGAAAATTTTAGGAATAATATACGGAATATATGACAAATTGTGGTGATCAGCATATTTTTTTTTCAAAATCAATAGCAGAACTGTAGATTTAAATGCACACCCATAATACTTGTCTATTTCATAAAAACAGATTGCTTTTTAGCGAATTTGTACATTAAAAAGATTACTTGAAGTATATTCAATCAGAAATATGTTTTTATATACATGTAATAAAAGAATAAAACGCTAAATGGTATTTCTGAAAAACGATATCCATATAGTTTTGTTTTCCAGAAGTTCGGAAATTCAATTCATCGCCAAATTCGTTATACCGCCATGATTTCTAAATTACAAAAGGTGGCGGTTTATCGAGAATTAACTGTGTACGACTTTTGGACAATTAACGATATTAATTAGGACGCTGTTTCGATAGATCCTAGGCCTATTTGTCTCGAAATAGAAAACAAAAAATGTTAGGTTCTACTTAATATTAACGTAATTAAAGTTTTGTATTTTTTAAAATACCAACAAACCTTCTGTTTGCCTGCATATGACAAAGAGCACACGTCCAGTGTGACTGGTCGACAGGATATATGCTTTCTCCCTTGATTTCATGTCTGATATTTAAGAGGCTTGTGTTTGCTCTGCTTCAAGTTTTTATTGTCCAATATGAGCTTGAATAATAGTTCGAATTCTTCTTATTTCATAATTATGTAAATCTAAGATTGCTCCCTTGGTAGTTACTACATACCTTCGACTTTAAACCTGACCAAAGTGTCGGCGATTCTCAAGGCAGACTTGTTACATCCGGGTTGCATCTCTCCTCCATTTGGGAAAAAATCAATATCCCCACAGATGTTATTCATTCCAAGACCTATGTGTTTAATAGTGAGAAATTGTAATTTAAAAATACAAGCTTTTAATCTGGAAAATAGTTTGAAAATGCTTTGTAAAACTCTTCAAACTTAGAAATTCCGCAAAATGACTGGAATTTTATGTAGATCTTCAGCTGACAAAAGCTAAATAACTAAAATTTTAGCTATTTGTTAAATAATTATATCACTTCATTCTGTGTTCTTTGAAATATATTTCTAAAGAAGTGGATTTACGGATATAGGCCTATTTTTTAAAGTTTTTGTGGACTACATTAAAGATCATTCCTCTAGGGCAATGTCTGACTTTTCCAAAGGAGCAAACAAATATTAATAAAAGTAACCCATAAAACTGACAGTTGCCTGATTGGAAAAACCAAACGATAAACTATATTCTCCATACCTCGATAACACGCAATCTCAGTAATTTGTATTGGAAAAGTAAATCAAAGTATATGTCTATCTATAATCATGACCGGTTGTGACTCTCATTTTACGAACACTATTGATCCCAAGTCTGAATTAAAAAAAAAATGATTGCCAACCTCAAAGACCGTTAGACTACAACAAAAAATCATATGGCGAAATGGCTGAGCTTTCCTTTCAATACTTGCCGAAATTAAACGTTCCCTCCGTATCGGTATGAATGACGTCCACAAAACTAGCATCAGAGGCGTCAAGACGAGCCATAGGGTGGTACTTATTAAACAGAGGTCCTGCTGGGTCAAGTCCTGTAGAAAACATATACCAATGAAAAGAAAAAAATATGCTCTATTAAACTTGATTGATAATTCTATTTGAAATAGAGTTTGAAAATTTAATACAATTTTCTTTCAATGTTTTTTATGAGCGTAAATGGGGGACTTGGTAGTTTAATGAAAAAGAAATGGAGAATGTAATAGAAGTTTTCCTGCACCTAAAAAAATAGCTACATTTTTTAAATCTATATCTTATCAAGTTTTATTATTCAATAATCTATTACTTTTTTTGCACAAACCCACCCATATTAGATAAATTATGTGGAAAGTGTTTAAATTTATCTTTGAGCATTAAGATACTCGGATGATACACAATCTTCAATAAAAAAATTATTCCATAGAATTACTAAAGTGATACTTCTAGTATACATCACTGAAAATTGCCATATTGCCATAACAGATTCCAGTTATTGGAATTATTTTGTTATATGCAGGAAAACCATTTTACGTGTCCCCAATGAAGCTATTAAGGCACTAGAAAAAACCATAGAGAAATCGGGACAAGAGGTGAAAAAAGTGTCCAATTATAAGTCCGTTAAATTGAAAGAGCGCACAAATTTACAAATATTAATTATTGAGGGAAAATGCAGTTTCATATTCTTACCAAACATATACGCTTTTAGTAAGAAAATACAATTGCTAACATGGGCAGTGAAAAATTACGTAACCTGTTATGCGTCCTATCTTTCCTTCTGTCCAAGCTCCAGCAAATCCTGCTATCTGTGCACCCAGACTGTGTCCTATGATGTGTACCAGTGATAGATCAGGCACCATTGTGGATATCAGGCGACCTAAGTAGGCCCCTACGGTTCTTGTGTTGGAGGCAGCTATCATGTAGTTCATATGTTTGGCTCCTTTACCCCAATCCACGATCACTACATTTATGTCATCCTGTGTGAAAAGAAAAATAGATTTGAAGAAATCATAAACTGCATGGAGCGTGATAATTTTCTAACAAATGTTCTAAAAAGAGTCTTCGCACAGCATGTTTTTCATTAATAGAAGTTAGAATGCTTTCGATGTTTAAGTCTGCAGATGTGTAAGCCATTGCATAGTGTTAAAACTGACCTTTCTCAAGATGCTTTCCTTCATCTTTAAAATCCATGGGTTTTCTCCATTGTCATTAAACCCATGGATGAGGAAAACAACTTTCTTTCCAGGATCATAACGAATGGAAGTCTTTTCCTTATTCAAAAGAATGTCGTTCAACAGTTCCGGCATTTTGTCATTGAATCGCGAGTACAATTTGAATTTGACATCCATTCCATGTGGTCCAGGGGAATTCGGCAGGATATCAAAGTGTTCAAACGGTTCTTCTTTATCGTAACATCCTATTTTGTCGTTTTTATAACACACATCTGGGAAAATAAGACCTGTTTCAAAAGATGAATTTTAAATTATTCTTGAATATAATTTAACACCCCCATCCCCCACCCCCCAACGCACAAATCAAAATTTTGACACATATCTAATATCTATGCTTGTATTTAAGTTAAAAATTTCGTTCACTGACGCTGATAAAATTTGAATATTACTACACGTATGTTGTTAGAATGTGAGCTTATCCAGTTGAAAATGAAATAAGAAATGAATAATTCGTTTTAATACATTATGAAATAGATTTTCCATCTAAAAATACAATATTTCTTGGTTTGTAAAAGTATACCGCGTTAATTACATGGAATAATTATACTTACGTAAACCACTGAGGGTCCACCAAAATTTACCGTACCACATTTTGACGAAGTGTTTGTTTCTTACAATAAATTTTAATCCTGATGTTATATCTAAGAATAGGTTTTGTGAAATTTTATGGACAAAACACAGACAATCCTATTTACTTGAAAATATGTTTTCTTTTCTGTAGTGTTTAATCACAAATTTATACATTTTTTAAGAAATCTTATTTAAATCTTGGCCGTTTTAAAAACTGTAACTGATATTATCTAACAAACGATTGAAGAAGAAAACACATGCTCTCATTTTAAACTTCGGGCAATACAAATGGCTCCTTTAATTCAAAATATGCAAATCATCAACTTAACATGTGTTATGTTTTTCCCTCTAGAAATGCACCATAAAGGTCAGTTTCCCAAACATTTTCACATTAGAATCTCTACAAGTAAGAAAACAATTCATTTTGTAATTATCTAGCTGGGATGGGCATAAATAATTTTACGTAAAAATAATAGATACTTTAATTTTTTAAATTCAAGAGACACAAAAAGTTACGACTGATTGATTAAATATTACTTTACTTTCCATTGGAGAATTTTTCAATCAAATTGAATCGTCATTATATACAAGTGAAGGGATGGGAATATGCTCATGGAACAAGTGAAAGCAAGCAAATTATAGGTTTTGCCCTTAATGATCAATTTTTTTGTATCAGGACTGATTAACGTAAGAAGAAAAGTTTCACTAAATTAGTGACATATATTGCATGATATTGTAATTTTCTTAAATCATCGATTTCTTTTTAATTTTGTGATGTTTCATTTTTCACTTAATTATACCGAAAGCATTTAAATTATTTCCTTAAATTTTTTTACTAGATGATTAACAGTGTGTTACTCTATTACTACATCTGAAGAATAAATTTTTTTGCCTTGACAGAGCAACTTTGCTTAATTAAACGATAAATCAAATATTCAAGTACTTTAAAATCACATATTTTCGAGGGGTCAAATTTTCGTGGTTTGAGGAAAATATGTTGGTTCATGGGGATTTGATTTCGTGGTTGAAGAATTGTTCAGTAGAAATATATGTGAAAAATTGCATAACGTGGTGGACATAAATTCATGGGTCTTTTCATACCTTGAAAATCACCCCCATGAAAATTAGTGATTTCATAGTAGTTGTAACATATCATATAAGAAACATCAACGGCGTAAATTGAAAATTTGTGATTTCACAGCTCAAAATTTTCAAATTTAGTTTTTACAAATATTTATAACATATCAAAAACATAAGAAACCAACAGCGGCGCTTAAATTGAATGTTTTTGTTTACATAGGTTAATATATTAATATATGTTCGTTCAGATAATTTTGAAGAATTAAAGATTAAAATGTGATTTACTGAATTAATTGTGTGTTAAACAAGGCACGGGCCTTGCAGAACATTACAATTTGTATTAAACAAATGACCATTAGAAATTATTATTTTCATTATAATTGGTTTTAAAAAAACAGTTGAAACTGTGTCCATTCCCCTTTAAAGCAATGTGCAAGTGTTAAACGCGGCAGTTACAATTTTTTATGACTGAAATTATTATTATTTTCTAAATTAGATAAAGTGTACTATTTCTATGCATTCCTCAATGAAGGTCTTCCTTTTTGTATCTCTCACTCTCCTTTTTCAGAAATTTTGATTTTGTCAGAAGAAAGAAATCAAAGCAATGTACTTGAATTTTAAAAAGACATTCCTTAACAGAGAACAGTACTAGTTTTTTAAGAACGTCTTAAAAGAATAATTGGCATGCTATACTCTTTTGTGAATTCGTATCAATTGAAAACCAAATGATCAAAGAAATAACCCTTATTAAAGGGAACAATCTCCTTTTAATTAGAAAATCACCGATGATTTTTTTTTTATTAATACGCTGTTGCAGAAGGATTTCTAGGAATTGGTCGAAACAATGATGAAGTCCTTTGGCAGGTTATCAAATAATTCTTCATTAAAGAAGCTAGACTTTGGGCAATTGTCACTAGATAATATCTCTGCTTTTTTGAATAATCAAGTTATTAGAAGAGATGGCAAAATGCAATTTAAAATCCTGAATTTGAATTGATAATGAATCATAATGACAAATTCAATTTTTAAAATCTCTTACTCCAAGAGTAAATCATAAGAAAAATGTATTAGAAGTAAAAATGATTTTAAAAACTTTTAAAAACATTATTCTTGAAGAAGAATTGGAACTTTGAATGAGCGACAGAATAGTTATTGCTCATAAAGTACATTTTTAGGATTCAAATTGAATCCTAAAGGTTGCGTGATGCATCAAATTGAATGTTGCAATGAGTTGCATGCACCATAACCATCTATCAACATTCATCTTTCAGTGCAAAATTTATATTCATTTTCATAAAACACGTATAATATTGATGGTCCTTACTTTTTTTTCATTTGTATTCCGGATATAGGAAATTGCCTCGAAAAGTGATTTATCAACTAAAAGTTCCTTGGTTTGAACATATTTTATTGTAATATAATTACAAAGGGACGTGTGTGCCAGTTTCAATCTTGAATGAAAAGAGGGAACAAGTTCTGTCTTCATAAAACCAAACTTATCGTTTAACAAAAAGCCAAGACTTTAAACATTTGAATTCTGATGTTCAATGCGAATATTTAGCGATAATTTTGGCATTATTAGCAATGGTCTTGCTAACGTAAAGTTTAAATGTCACCAATAATTCAATTATTGAATCACCAAATATTGCCAAAGTAAATTATTTCAATTATTCCTAAAAAGTAAGCAATAAAAGCATTTTTGAAAGTAAAATAGTCCAAAAAAAATTAAATTATTACAAGAAATATTATATGATGCAATGGAGGTTTTTTTTGTAGGTAGAATAAGTACAAATAACTTACCTAGAACAGAGCTTCGTTTTTCATACTAATTGTACTGTTAGTCCATTATTGCTAGATTTTTCCGTTATTTTTCTATGCTCACTCTTCCATTGCACCAGATCCCACCTCTGATGTTTCGGAGGTCCGTATTTGCTCTGCTCCTATTTTGTAATTGTATTATTGACTTTGAAATTGAATACTGTTCGTTATCTCCATATCCTTCTTTGTAGATTTGAAAGTTTAAATTATCAATAGACAGCATTTTTCCTGCATTATTTCCGAAAAGAGAGAGCTTTGATACTCTTAGAGAATTTGTTATAGTTATGCAAAGATTCTTTTATGTGTATAGCCAAGAAATTCTTCACAGATTAAGATGTCTACTAAGGGAAATTGCATCAATATATTATAGACCATTTTTGTTTACAAAATTATTTACCTCTTAAACATGCATACTTAAAACGTATCACAAGCTTTAGACTGTCTAAATATATATATATTCAGTGTATATTATAGTCACATTATTTTATATTTAAATGTCCTGTGTATCAAAAAGTGTTCAAAATGTCAAAGAAAAGTCTAAATTGGGTAGATATTTGTTCAGTGCTTCACAACGAATAATAGAACTACTAAATTGTTTGTAGCATATAAATGTATGTAAAATTTTATTCTTATTCAAACAAAACATGATTTTTCCGTTACTTCTCGATCACGAGAAGATGCAAAAGGCGCCCGATCCCACCTCTGATGTTTTGGAGGTCCATGTAGCTCCAAATCTATATTGTGTTAGGAAATTTGAGCTTGATTACTGTGCATTATCTCCATATATTTCCCTAATCAGGAGCAGAGCAAACATGGACCACTAAAATTTAGAAATGAGATCAGTTGCCATGGAGGAGTGAGCATCCCCTGTAGACCGTTCACACCCGCCTTGAGTTCCTTATCATGTTCGGGATCATCGGAAAAATGAAGACAAAACAATGTGTAATTAAAGGTTTTTTAATCAACATGAAAACCTCAGTCAGCATTTGACTTAATGATAGGTTGTTTGAATAAATTAACGTTCACATAATTATTTGAATATTCGCCAATGACGTTATTAAGCTGAGGCGACTACCATAATTGTACGTTATATATTCATGTAATCAGATATTTGAGGCCAATTATCGGTTTTATCGCAGTTGTGACATTAATTTTGGATGAACCCGCGTATATTGCCCTCATAAGTCATAATTTAGGATATAGTTTTTTGCAAGTTCTAATTATAGTTATAAATATAGTACTGGGATATCAAGTATAATTAATCACGGGTTTAAATAAAATAACCTTCATGTTACAAGCACTAATCCACATGATAACGTCATGCATTTAATCATGTCTATTTTGCCTGAAAAAAATATTTGACCATATAGTTATTGAGCATTTTTTTTCACAAAAGCATTCGATCATTTTTTATTCATCAATTTAAATGTCAAGGATATATATAATGACGAAATAATGGTATCATAAAGGACTTTCATCGTCCAATTTGAATCCTCTGTTTCTAGAAGTTTTTATAGAAAGCATTGTAAAATCAATGGAATCATCTTGTTCGATTAGATTTCCTGCATCTTCATGATTTACCGTTCGATGGTCAGATGTCGTGAAGTTATTTTTAATAGTAAGGCTTTCTGTCTTGGTCTGTAATTTATTATCGTTTGTGGCAGGATGATTAGTGATAATAAAACTGGTATCATGATAAAGCTCTCGCCTTTTAAAAATGGTCAGTCCAAATTGTAGCTTATAGAATCTCCTTCTGTCGGTGGCTCGTTGTTTTGCAATTTCATCTCGGATTGATTTGCGGTACTTAAATCTAGAATGAAAGCTTTTAATGTGTTCCCAACGTAATGCAAAGATTCCGTATAAAACAGGATTAAGAGCACTATGAACCATAAAAATTATTTCCGATACTGACAATGCATACTCCAGTTTCAATTTATAATCACTGTAAATCCTTAGGAACGATATGATGAAGTAAGGAGTTAGACACACTAGAAATCCCACGATCACAGTAAGCGTCATCTTGATGACTTTCTGTTTGGAAGCAGACACAAGGTTTGTTCGCACTGATACTCTCGGAGAAGCCTTTAACTCCTCATAAGGACCCTCAATGGAGTGCTGATGAGAACTCGCTCGTGCCCATACGACTTTTGCGATTTTGTAGTAGCAGTATAGCATGACCATCGAGGGAACAATTAAAACATAAGTCATGAGAAAAGAAAAGTACACTTTACGCTGCCATTGTGCAGTGTAGCCATGACTCAAGCACATTTTCACTGATTTTCCATTTTTTATTAGTTTCTCTTCGACAAAAATGGCCAATTGTGGTAGAGCAAATAGAAAAGCAAAAACCCAAGCACTGACGACTTTTGTCCATATTTTCGGTCTTTTGGCAAGGGACTGCATTGGTCTGACTATAACCTGATATCGATCAACACTCATCCCTGTCAATAAAAAAGTGGCA